CTGGGCTGGGACTTCCAATACTATGTTGAATAAAAGTGGTGAGAGTGGACATCCTTGTCTTTTCCTGATCTTAGAGGAAAAGCTTTCAGCTTTTCACCATTGAATATGATTTGCTTTGGGGTTTGTAATACATGGCCTTTATTACATTGAGGTGTTCCCTCTAAACCCACTTTTGGAGTTTTTATCGTGAATGGATATTGAATTATGTCATATTTTTTCTGTATCTGTGGGAGATGATCATATGATTTTTAGCCTTCACATTTTGGTAATTATGTTGGTTGATGTATGAATATTGAACCATCCTTGCATACCTGGAATAAATACCACCTGATCATAGTAAATGATCCTTTTAATGTGTTGTTGAATTTGCTTTGCTAATATTTTAGGGGATTTTTGTATCTATGTTTATCAGGGATATGGCTCTATAATTTTGGTATCAGGTTAATGTTGCTCTTGTGGAATGAATTTGGAAGCATTACTTCTTCTATTTTTTGAAACAGTTTAGGAAGAGTAGGTGTTAACTCTTGTTTACATGTTTGGTAGAAATCACCAGCGAAGCCATCTGTTCCAGGATTTTTGTTTGTTGGTAGTTTTTTGATTACTGATTAATTTGTTAGTAGTAACCAGTCTGTTTAGATTTTCTGTTTCTTCCTGATTCAGTCTTGGAATATTGTATGTTTCTAGAAATTAATTCATTTCTTCTAGGTTGTCCAGTTTATTGGGTTGTAATTTTTCATAGTATTGTCTTATAATCCTTTGTACTTCTGTGGTGTTGGTTGTAACTTTTCTTCTTTCATTTCTAATATTATTTATTTGAGTTCTCTATCTTGATAAGGCTCTCTAAAGGTTTGTCAGTTTTGTTTATCTTTTCAGAGAACCAACTCTTAGTTTCATTGATCTTATCTGTCGTTTTTTTAAATCTCTATTTCACTCTGGTTCTTTTTAATCTTTGCTAGTATTCTATATGAAAAATAGTTATCTGTTTTTAAATGGCATAACCTTATTTCCTTGTCTTTTTTTCTGTTGGAATAGTCATATTTTAACTATTGTTTTAATAAGCTTTCTCTGTTAAGGAGATATTTTGATTCTTACACATTTTACTTATTTATTTACTTATTTGGCTCAAACAGTAAGATATTTACTTTCTTACACTTCTAGAAAAGTCAGAGATTGAGATTTCAGTGGGGCTGGTTTCTCCTTGTGCTTATCTCTTTGCCTTATAGATGGCCTTTTTCTCCCTGTGTCTTCAGATGGCCTTCCCTCTCCCAGTCCTTATGCATTTTAGGCTTTAATGTTTGTATTTGTTTCCTAGGGCTGCAGGAACAAATTACCAACATTTGGTAGCCTTCAACAGTAGAAATTTATTCTCACAGCTCTAGAAGCCAAAAGTTGTAAATTCAAGGTATTGGAAGGGCTAAGGTCCCTCCGAAGGCACCTTTCTTGCCTCTTCCAGCATCTGGTAGCTCTTGGTTTTCCTTAGCTTGTGGCAGTATCATTTGAATATTTGCCTCCATCTTCACATGGCCTTTTTCTCAGTGTCTCTGTGTCCTGCTAAATCTTTTTTCTCTTATAAGGACATTGCTCATTGGGTTAAAGGCCCATTCAAAATGCAGGATGATTTTATTTCATGATCCTTAACTTAATTACACTTGCAAAGACCCTGTTTCCAAATAAGGTCACAATTTACAGGACCTGGGATTACAACTGGGAAATTTTTAACCCATGAGAGTGTTAATACATAGATGTTATTTACTAAAGAGTATAAAACTATTCATTGGTATTTTCTCCTAGCACTTTTGCATTTAAATGTTTAAGCCATCTGGGATTTATTTTGGTCTAAGGTAGGATGTAAGTTTATTTTTTGTATAACATTATTGGCAGATCACTCAGTTAATAAGTGCTGACACTAGCATTTAAACCTATGACTTTTTTTTTTTTTTTCAAAGTCAGCATCTTTTCTTTTATGTAGAACTACCTGCTTTTAGTATTTTAACTTTAAAGAACTTTGCCTGTAAGGCTGTTTTTGTCATCATACATCTCATAACAGAAAAACGACTCTTAAATGCTTTATTGGCACTTGAAATTATGATGGTAGCTGAATGTCTGAAAAGAGTCTTCTAGGCACTTGGGCACTTTTTCACAGTTGTTATTCTAGGAAAGAATAAGAAATGCCAATTGGGAAAGTATGTTGGAGAGCATGGTTTTGAGGTGCTGGCTTAATTTGCCATGTCTGATGCAGTTGTTATTGGACAGCTCAGGGGCATCTGTAGTATATGCTGTTTTACTCCTGCTAAAAGGTATTTTGGGGTTTTTTTTTTTTTCCAAATTTGTATTTGAGTTCTAGTTAGTTAACATATAGTGCAATAATTGGTTTCAGGAGTAGAATGCAGTGATTCAGCACTTACATATAACACCCAGTGCTCATCATAACAAGTGCCCTCCTTAATGCCCATCACCCATTTAGCCCATCCCCCACCCACCTCCCTCCAGCAACCCTGTTTTTTCTCTGTCGTTAAGAGGCTCTTATGGTTTGCTTCTCTCTCTCTCTCTTTCTCTCTTTCCCTATTCTCATACATTCATCTGTTTTGTTTCCTAAATTCCACATATGAGTGAAATCATAAGGTATTTGTCTTTCTCTGATTTATTTTACTTAGCATAATAACATTCTAGTTTCATCCATGTCATTGCAAATGGCAAGATTTCATTCTTTTTGATGGCTGAGTATTATTCCAGTGTGTGTGTGTGTGTGTGTATAAATAATATATACGTACCACATCTTCTTTATCTATTTATCAGTAGATGGACACTTGAGCTCTTTTCATAGTTTGGCTATTGCTGATAATGCTGCTGTAAACATCGGGTGCATGTACCCCTTTGAATCTGTATTTTTGTGTCCTTTGGGTAAATACCTAGTAGTGCAATTGCTGGGTTGCTGGGTAGTTCTATTTTTAACATTTTTTTTCAAAGATTTTATTGATTTTGAGAAAGAGGGTGAGCGGGCGGGATGGGGTGGGCAGAGGCAGGGGGTAAGAGAGAATCTCAAGCAGACTTCATGCTGAGCATGGAGCCTGATGAGGGGCTTAATCCCACAACCATGAGATTGTGACCTGAGCCAAAATCAAAAGTCGGGCTTAACTGACTGAGCCACTCAAGCACCCCTCAATTTTAACTTTTTGAGGAACCTCCATACTGTTTTCCAGAGTGGCTGCACCAGTTTGCATTCCCATCAACAGTGTAAGAGGGTTCCCCTTTCTCCGCATCCTTGCCAACATCTATTGTCTCCTAATGTTAATTTTAGCCATTCTGACGGGTGTTAGGTGGTATCTCATCTTGGTTTTGATTTGTATTTCCCTGATGATGAGTAATGTTGAGTATCTTTTCATGTGTCTGTTAGCCATCTGGATGCCTTCTTTGGAAAAAAGTCTAGTCATGTCTTCTGCCCATTATTTGGTTTTTGGGTGTTGAGTTTGATAAGTTCTTTATAGATTTTGGATACTAGCCCTTTATTAGGTATGTCGTTTGCAAATATCTTCTCCCATTCTGTAGGCTGCCCTTTAGTTTTGTTGACTGTTTCCTTTGCTGTGCAGAAGCTTTCTATCTTGCTGAAATCCCAGTAGTTCATTTTTGCTTTTGTTTCCCTTGCCTCAAGCGACGTGTCTAGTGAGAAGTTGCTATGGCTGAGGTTAGTGATGTTGCTGCTTATGTTCTCCTCTAGGAGTTTGATGGTTTCCTGTCTTACATTTAGGTCTTTCATCCATTTTGAATTTATTTTTGTGTATGGTCTAAGAAAGTGGTCCAGTTTCATTCTTCTGCATGTTGCTCTCCAGTTTTCCCAACACTATTTGTTGAAGAGACTGTCTTTTTTCCATTGGATATTCTTTCCTGCTTTGTTGAAGATTAGTTGACCATACAGTTGTGGGTCCATTTCTGGCTTTTCTGTTCTGTTCCATTGATCTATGCATCTGTTTTTGTGCTAGGACCATATTGTCTTGATGACTACAGCTTTGTAATATAGCTTGAAGTCTGGAATTGTGATGCCTCCAGCTTTGCTTTTCTTTTTCAGGATTGCTTTGGCTACTTGGGTCTTTTGTGGTTCCATTTAAATTTTAGGATCGTTTGTTCTAGCTCTGTGAAAAATGCTGGTGATCTTTTTTTTTTTTTTTAAAGATTTTATTTATTTATTTGACAGAGAGAGACACAGAGAGAGAGGGAACACAAGCAGGGGGAGTGGGAGAGGGAGAAGCAGGCTTCCCGCAGAGCAGGGAGCCCGATGTGGGACTCGATCCCAGGACCCCGGGATCATGACCTGAGCTGAAGGCAGTCGCTTAACCGACTGAGCCACCCAGGCGCCCTGGTGATCTTTTGATAAGGATTGCATTAAGTGTATAGATTGCATTGGGTAGTATAGACACTTTTACAATGTTTGTTCTTCCAGCCCATGAGCATGGAATGCTTTTCCATTTCTTTGTGTCCTCTTCAATTTCTTTCATAAGTGTTCTATAATTTTCAGAGTACAGATCTTTTAGTTTTACCTCTTTGGTTAGGTTTATTCCTAGGTATCTTATGGTTTTTTGGTGTAATAGTACATGGGATCAATTCTAAAAAGTATTATAATATATCTGTTTTCAAGGGATGTTAGTCATATTAATTTTATGAGTTAGGTTACATTAATGGGCTTGCCATCCTTGTAGAGAGTTTTAGTGGTAATTACAACAGTTAAACTGACATTTCTTACATCCTGTAAAAAAAATGAACATGTTGGACCCACTTTTGATATCTGAATCTGTTGATAAATGTTTGTAATGACCACATGAATTTTGGTTTTGGTATATTGCTTAAAATTGGTTCATATATAGTCTAAAAGAGTAGAGTGAATACTGTATAGTCTGATGCTTCATATAATAATCATTTATGTCTACTACATAATTTTTTCCCCATAAAGTTTTGGAATAAGTTATGAAAAACAAAACTTATGGCTGCTCTGTTATGCATTTTTAAAGGAAAGCACAAGAGAAGAAGTTCCTGTGAAGACTATCCAGGCTACTAATGCGAAACTTAACCCTGTTTGTTTTCATGACACAAATGCCAGTAAAGGTGATTTTGACTTAATGGACCCTTTGAAACTGGAGGCCGGGTCTCTTCATCAAAATAAGCATTTGGCATCTGATTCAGAAAGAGTTTTGCCCGTGGATAGATGTTTAGACACTGAAATGCCTGAAGTGTCCATTCAAAAATATGTGGACATAGCATCTTTGAAGCCTGTTAGTGACAGTGAAATTAATTCCACTGATAGTCTTCGGTCACCAACTAGTGAAAGGCGAACATGTGATTATTATAAGTCCATTAAAAAGAGTAAAGAGGGTAAGTAGGTCTTTTTTTAAAAAAAAAATAAAAGTAAAGAAATGTATAAAATGTTTATACATTTTGAATAGATTTTCAAGTGGAACTTGCTTTATCTTTTGTAATAAAATAATTGTGTTTTATGGATTAGAAATTGTATCTTTATTCACAGATCTAGTGGAAATGTACTACTCTAAGTCCTAGTTTTCTTTTCCTTTTGCCCCTGGTTCTCCATTACAGATTTTTACTGGGTTAAGGCTGGCTTATCCACCATTAGAGAACTTTCCTTTTGTGGGAATGGATTTTCTTTTTTCTAACTAGTTTTGGGCAGATTTCAGTACTGTTGATATCTAAGATAAGTCAACTAAGTAAAATTATTAAGAATATTATATCATTTTGTTTCATATGTCATTGGATATTTTTGGAATTTTTTAGAAACAGATCTACCACAAAGTGTTGTCTATCAAAATGAAGAGGGCAGATGGGTCACTGACCTTGCGTATTATACATCTTTTAATAAAGAACAAAATTTAAATATGTCTCTAACTGACGAGATGAATGAAGACTTCAGATCTGGTTGTAAGTGTATTGATAACCACTTTATTGTACCATTTTCATTGTTTTTGATGGTGTTCTGAGATTACTCTGTATGTATTGGTTAGCCACATCAAATCACTTTTGGAGTATACATTTGAACCTTGAACAATGTGGGGGTTAAGGTGTACCAACTCCTTGCATATTTCAAAATCTGCGTATAACTTTTGACTCCCCAAAATCTTAACTACCTACAGCCTACTCTTTACCAGAAGCCTTAAGCGATAACATAGTCAATTAATACCTATTTTGTATGTTACATGTATTATATACAGTATTCTTATAGTAGGGTGAGCTAGAGAGAAGAAAAAGTCAAGAAAATCATAAGGGAGAGAATACATTCATAGCACTATACTGTATTTATAAAAAAAATCTGTGTTAAGTGGACCTGTGTAGTTCAAACCCATGTTGTTCAAGGGTTAGCTGTAATATTTAGCTTATCAGTAGTGTTTATAGGAACAAAGGCTTGAGTTAGTGCTAATCATTGCAGAATGAGCTGAGCCTTTTCCTTAAGGACAGTGAGTCAGACTATCATTCTTTTACATCAGTTTAGAACCTTCATATTGCAGAGTTAACAGGGACCTCAGGCTGTACATTCTCACTTTTAAAAATCTGTCCTGAACAAAAGAAATATTATGATAAATGAGCAATTACAAAATCCAGTCTGTTTTGGAGTAAAACCTAAGAAATATGGAAGCGATGGGAGAAAAGTGACAGAAAAGATAAATCTCAAAAGATGAGAGCATTAGGAATATCAGCTAGGTTTGATTAGCAGAATCTCTGACAGTGAAAGGAAAAACCAGTTTCAGTCTGCCAAACAAATTGCATTTTGAGCCTTAGTCTATGGAGATGGTGTGCCACGGAGGCCTCCAGTGCTGGGCACCTCTAAACCTGCAATGAGGAAAGGCATTCAATGGCCTGTCAAGCCTAGTCTTATTTTTAATAGACTCAGAACATGCCACAGCAAGAAGTTACTCTAACTCCTGTTTGTACTAAGCTCCTCCTAAACATCTAATGATGTGGAAGGTAGAGACAAATAAGGTATTTTTCCAGCCTCTAAGAAATTGTCCATCAGCTAAGGGTGGTAAGACAAGAGTAAAACAACCATCAGCATTATAAGAAACACAAACCAAATGGTTTTGGAGTTTAGAGGAAAAATAACTTTTGCATGAGTGGGTGACAAGGATTTCACATAAGAGGTAGCTTTTGAGGTAAGAGTTTGAACAGGTAAATGTTTGAGGGCATGAGAAATTCCAAATGGATAGGAAACCCAATGAAAGAGAATGAAATGAGGAAGTCTGGGTGTGTTTTGAGAATGGTAAATAGTCCAATGTAGTTAGCATTTATGACAAGATATGGGAAGAGGAGAGTAATAAAAGGTGAAGAGGTGAAGCTGGAGAGGTAGAGTAGGGCCAAGGAGTGGGTTGAGCTTTGACTACCATGTCAGAGTTGAGGCTTGTGTGGTAAGCAATAGGGAGCCACTAAAGACTTCATTTGTCCAGCTTCTGGCATCAATGGTCAGTTGATTGGGAGATTCCTTAGGATGTTGTGGAAATCTAGGTGTCACGGTGAGAATGAAAAGCAAGTAGATAATGAAAGACCTGGAAATAAAATGGTTAGGATTTGGTGACTGGATTTCAGTAGATAGAGAGGCAAGAAAAGATTGAGGTTTGTGGTCTGAGTTACTTGAGAAAATGGCAGTACCGTGAACTGAGATGGGAAAATTAGAAGAAATTGTAGAATTTTGAATGACTGTGGTTTGAGGTGGGAAATGTGAGCCAGAAACTGGAAATTAAATTAAGTTCAAGCTTGCTCAATAATATCTTGATTTAGAAAGAACACGAGGTTACAGGCTGGACAGTGGATATTGACTGTGTCACTTAAAAGTGGTCATGGAATTCTCATGTGTAACTGGTGGGAGTGTAAAGTGATAGATAGAACCATTTCAGAAACTTGTCTAGCAGGAGCTTTTGGAGGTAAACTTTATGAACTTCATACTTTAGGGCCCCCAGTAATTCTGCACCAGAGTATATATCCAGTGTATAGATGTACTCTTCACCAAAAGACTAAAATATTTATAGCAGCACTATATGATCAACTCCGAATTAGAAACTCCCCAATTCTCATTAATGATAGAATGGATTGTGTTTATTCACACATTGGAATGCTATGTAGCAATGGGAATGAATGATGTGTAGCTACTTGTAGCAGTGGGGATGAATTTCACAAGTATATTGAATGAAATAAGGCAGACTAAAGAGTACATGCTATATAAATCTGTTTGTATATATTTCAAAATGTACCCTGCTCTGTGGAGTAAGAAGTAAGGATACTGGTTATCCTCCGATGGGCATGTAGTAATGGGAAGGAAGCTTGATTGGCCTTTTGGGGGTGCTAACAAAGTTCTCTTTCTTGATCTAGGGTGTTGATCTGGCCACACAAATGTGTTCATTGAGTTGTACACATAAATACTCTTCATATGTATATTGTACTTTGGTCAACGGTTTTTAAAAATTCATGATCAGACTGAGAAAAAATAACTTGCAATTCATGTTACAGGTTAAGGGCCCATTTTCCTAATGTGTAAATAGTTCTGATAAATAAGAAAAAGACCAGCTTCTCAGCATAGAATTAGGCAAAAGATATAAACTGGCAATTTAGAGAAAAGAAAATGAAAATGGTTGTTAAATGTTCAAAAAAAGTTCATGGAACTTATTCATGGAAAGAAACCACTCCATGATACTATTTTTCCATTATTTCACTGGCAGTGATCCAATAGTTTGGTAATAAAACTATGTTGGCAAGAGTGTGAAGGAAATAGGTATTGTAGTATTTATGGCACAGGGTCTAGGTAGAGCAGTATTACAGCATCTAGCAAAATTACAGATGTACACACCCTGTAAACAAGGGATTCTGCTGGGAATTTATTCTTCAGATAGGCTTGCAGAAATGGTATGTGATACATATTGTTTATAATAACAAAAGGTTGGAAGCAATATGGATATACAAAACAGGGGACTAATTAAATAAGGTACGTCCATACAAGGAAAATACACCGTGGTCATTAAAAAAGGGGAAAGTTGGAACATTCACTAATACGGGATAATCAACGAAAATAAATTGTTTACATTCCAAGACCTAGAAGAGCATATGAAATATTCTGACATTTATGTAAAAAGGTGGAAGGGGGGAGGACACACACATTTATAAATACATATGGTGTAGAGATTTTTTTTTTTTTAAAGATTTTATTTATTTATTTGACAGAGAGAGACACAGCGAGAGAGGGAATACAAGCAGTGGGAGTGGGAGAGGGAAAAGCAGGCCTCCCGCCGAGCAGGGAGCCTGATGTGGGGCTCGATCCCAGGACCTGTAATCATGACCCGAGCCAAAGGCAGTCGCTCAACGACTGAGCCACCCAGGCGCCCCAAGATTTTTTTTTTTTAAAGAGAAAGAAATGGATTGCAGGAATCCCTAGCTACTGAACTAAAAAATCAAATAGATTCAAATCGGGATTTCAGGGGTACTTTATATATTGGTTGCTTTTGAAGATGTGGGATGTAGGGTCAGGAATGATGGGGAGACTTTTCAGTGCCATATTCCCTTTTATGTCTTTGGTTAATTTCTCAAAACTCTTTGTTGAATCATACATATGTGTACCTTTGCATTTTGAACTACGTAGGTGTGTTACTATTTAAGGAAAAATAAAATAGATAAAAGAAGTTTAATGAAACCATCCTTGTGGTTAGGGAATGAACAAAGGCCAGGTTGGAAAGAATGGTGAAGAAATGGGGAAAATGATTATGGAATACTATGGGGAAAAGTGTAGTGGAAGGAAAGAAAATGAGAGAGAGGACACCCTCTGCCCCATTTCTGCCTTGCCCCTCTCTGACAGCGCCATGCATCTGAGTCACTATATCACTTCTGCTTATGGCCTAGGTTTTAAACATGGCTGGGGGGCTGGGGTATATGGCCTGCTTCAAAATTTAACAACTAAAACATTCAGGAGATACTTGAAAGGACTATTTTAGATTTGGCAAAGAATTGGGTATAGATTCTTAAAAAAAAAAGAATTTCTATTTTCTCATAATTGCTGACTGATTTCTGGTGAGCATACAAGGTAGCAATATTACTGTAGATTTTTCTTTAATTGAAGAATCTGTTAAAGTTCAGAGAAAAAAGTACTTCGGAGTGTAATAAAAAGCAGTTGGAACCGTTTAGTTAATGGTTTGAAAACATTTGATTTTTTAAAAAAGATTTATTTATTTGAGAGACAGAGGGAGAGTATAGAGGGTGAGTGAGAAGCAGACTCCCTGCTGAGCAGGGAGCCCGACATGGGTCTTGATCCCAGGACCCTGAGATCATGACACGAGCTGAAGGCAGCCGTTTAACCGACTGAGCCCCAGAAAAACATTTGATATTTAACGCAGTGAAGTAAATTAAGTTTTTCTGGACTATCTTCTTAGTGGTCTGATTTCCTACCTCCCCTCCCTTGGCTGTTAGATTTGGTTGGTTGATACTTTCACATTTTAGAGCAATGACTTTTAACATACTTTGAGTCATGGGCACCAGAGAATCTTCATAGAAAAATTTTTATGTGAAAGATTGTGTTTTTCATGTGATTTTGAGAGTTTCATTGTTCTCCTGATGCCCTTTCATAGAGCTCTAGGTTAAGAATGTGTTTATATAAGAAATGATGGGTTCACAAGGTAAAGAACCCCCACTATCCTAACAGGTAAGGATCTGAGCTATCTCTGGTGTTCTGTTTTTCCTGATTGGAAATATTCTATTTCTGTTCTCATTGTATTTCTCAAGATATTAATGTTGAACTATAAGGGTTTCCAAGAGGGCAATTTGGATCTGATTAGCTCCTGATGGACTAATGAGTGTGGGGGGACACCTCTCTTGTTTGGGCCATGGTAGACTGTCTCTTCCGGGTTGCATGCAACTTCCCATTTCAGCCAGTCTCCTAAAGTACCAGGCAGAGGCCCAGAGTAGGTAGCAGGGAGGCAGAGAGCCTGCAGACTTTCCGATTAGTCAGTATGTTTAAAATTCTTTTCGATTCTAATGCCTTGAGCAGGATCATGTGCTTTCTAGTTTGCCACTATCCCATCATTCCCTGTTGTGTCACACCTGGTCCTTTCTGCTCATCCACCTCTGGTCTCTGAGGCATTTTAGTTTGTGGCTTTGGTTTAGAGATTAAAGGTATCCAGGCCCATTCATTTCCCTAAGGCGAACTGAGTTGCTTGGTAGGAACTTTGAGGGCAGATGTTGGATAACCATTTGTTTTAGTTTGTCCAGGTTGTGGGGTTTGCTGGGATGTGGGACTTTCCTTTCTGAAACTGAGACAGTCTTGGGCAAACAGGTGGTTGGGCACCCCAGCAGACCTCTTCACAAGTTTACGGTGACTTACTGTTGTGATGGTTCCAGATAAAATTTCACAGGTATTCACGGGTGAGTGCCTTAAAGCAGTTGTGCCAAAATCTTCAAAAGCTAAAATTAATGTGAATCTTTTACAAATAAAAAGCTTACATTGTAAAGGCCCTTTAGTAAGTTAGGACAAATTAGTAACAGATGAAATCAGTAACAGTAGAGTGTTCATTACCAAAAGTTTGAGAACCAGAGACTACGTACTTAAAACTGACGTATCAGTTGTATGATGAAAGCTTTCATATACTTTTTTCAGTTATTTTCTTTAGTGTTTCATTTTCCTAACTAGCTAAGTTTTAAATATCTGCTAGTTTTTAATTAGGCATTAGTATAATTTAATTATATAAACTAATTCTTTTTTAAGCTGAAGCACTGGATTTGATTAATCAAGATGAAGAAGAATTTAATAAAGAGCATCAGTTTATGCAGGTTTGTATTTTATTGGCATTACCCAAAGTTTAAAATTTTAACCTGTATTCTTTCTGGATAGATACATAGTTTGTATAGAATTATATCTTGTTTTCTCATGTTTACACAATTGCTTTTGCATTCTTACTCTCAGTTATTAATTAAAAAGTAACTGGCACACTAAAATAATGTTCAATTCACTTAGAATCACCTTAATAGGCTTTAAAGATCTTTCCGTAGTTTTTAACCATGTTTTAAAATGAAGTAATGCTATTTTAACAAATTGAATATGTTCGTTACCTTATTATTAGGTGCTCAAGCTTGAATTTGTCCTATTTTTTTTTAATTAAAATGTTTAAATTTTCTTAGTTCAATTTTCTTATTTTTGCATATTAGAAGAACAGAAAGAAGCCTTGCTGGGGAAATAAAATGAAACAATAACTTTCTCTCTAGGAAGAAAATATAGATGCCCAGAACACTTCAGCTGCTCTAGGGGATACGTCTTGGGGAACTTCAATTAATTATAGTTTGTTGAGGAAATCACTTAGCACATCAGATTTGGACAAAGATGATGCCAGTTATTTACGCCTATCTTTAGGAGAGTTCTTTGCTCAAAGATCTGAAGCTCTTGGTTGCCTTGGTGGCGGTTACAATGTGAAAAGAGTAAGTATAATATGTGCTACAAGTGGTTGAATTCACCAGCCCTTATATTTTGAATGTTATGATGGTATTAGCTACAGCATAGTATCTTTACAGCAGGGACAGAATAGGGACATGATAGAATTGTGGTAGACAGCTTAGGTTTTATGGTTGGTCAGACCCTGACTCCAGTCCTAGTTCTATCTTTTAACTAACTCTGTGACATGGAACAATTTATTTAACTCATCTATGCTTTAATTTTCCAATTTTTAAAATGGAGTGCTATTTTATAGGGTTTCGTAAGAATTAAGTGTGATGAGACACATAAAGCATTTAGCACCCAAGACTAACTTGCACCAAGTATTCAATACGTGTTATTGATATTGCTATTTTATATCATTCGTTGATGGGAAGAATTCGAAGATTGACTTTTTTAACCTCTTACCTGAAAACATGTTTTGAAATATAGGAAAGTTTTGGTTTAATAAGTTGTAATACATGTAAAAATTTGAAAATGTAAGCAATAGTAGTAAGTTCTATGAAGAATGGTGAGGAGTTGCTTTAGCTGTGGTGATCAGGGCGACCTCTGAGGAGATGGCATTGAACTGGGACCTAAATGATGAGAAGGAGGAGGCTGCCAAAAGATCTGGAGGCAGAGTGTTCCCAGCAAAAGGGGACCATCTATGTGGAGGTAGAAACTAGAGTGGCATATTGAGGAACAGAAACCAGGCCAGGGGAGCTAAATGTAAATGGAGGGAGGGAGAGAGGGTAGGATGGTTCAATGGTAGAAGAAGACCAGGACCAGATCATGAGGGGTCTTTGTAGGACTTGGGTTCATGTGAAATTAATTGGGAAGAAGTGCTTGGAGGCAGGGAGCAACTTTGTCGTGGTGCCGGCCCCATCTCCGTGTGTGACATGATGCTACTGTATATGGAACCTGGGTGGAGAGGAGCAGTGAACCGAAAGGAGGAATAGCAGCAGGCAGAGGGTTAGTACATGGGAAGAGATGTGGTGAAGGCTGGAGTCTAGAATGATAGTACAGACACAGAAAAAATCAAGGATTCAAGATTTCTTTTGGAAGTAGAGTCATAGGGCTTGATGAATTCCATATAGGGAGTTGGGTTATTGGAGGGAGTGGTATTAAAACTGGATTTCACTAAATATAATTTGAAATAATAGCCATGGTGTTAGAACTCAAAGTCGACATACAGAACATAAATTTGACTAAACTGATTTTGATTCCTTACGTTTCTCTGACTGGTCTACCTGATAACACCTCAGAGCAATGTTGAAGAGAAGTGATGATGTTGGGGTTCCCTGACACATCCTGTCCCTGTACATTCCTGTCTGTGCAGTGAATTAAACAATGAAAATAAGTGCTTTGGAGAGACAGATTTTCCTGCCTGGATTGATTGGGGTTTTGACATTATGAGAGAAGTTGAAGAAGAAATTAATTCCTTACTCAACAAACAAGGGCGCCTGGGTGGCTCAGTTGGTTAAGCGACTGCCTTCGGCTCAGGTCATGATCCTGGAGTCCCTGGATCGAGTCCCGCATCGGGCTTCCTGCTCGGCAGGGAGCCTGCTTCTCCCTCTGACCCTCCCCCCTCTCACGTTCTCTCTCTCTCTCTCCTTCTGTCTCAAATAAATAAATAAAATCTTAAAAAAAAAACAAAGCAGTGGATCATGGAAAAATAGATCTATCATTTAGAATTTCTGTTTTGGTTTTAGTTATGAAATGTTACTTGCATTCAAGTTGCTGGATCAAGGGAAGAAATTCCCAGGTGAAGATCTATCGAAAATTGAGTGCATTTAACAAGTTTACATTTCAGGTCTATCATGTCAAAGTTGTATAGGAAAGACAGGTGGGAATTCCCTGCTCCTTAACACTTTCATCCAAGTGCTAGGAACATACCAAATCTTAATACAGATTTTTTTTTTTTTAAGATTTTATTTATTTGACAGAGACACAGCGAGAGAGGGAACACAAGCAGGGAGAGTGGGAGAGGGAGAGGCAGGCTTCCCGCTGAGCAGAGAGCCCGATGTGGGGCTCGATCCCAGGACCCTGCGACCATGACCTGAGCCGAAGGCAGACACCTAACGACTGAGCCACCCAGGCGCCCCTTAATACAGATTTTTGAGGATGTATTATATAAAATAAATATCCTTATACTTGTAAGTTTTAAGAAGGCAGGACATTTTTGACATTTTATCTTTTTTCTCATTGATATGTCACACTGATGATTAACAGTGGTGACACAGTAGCTGCTCAGTAATAATTACTGAATGAATGAAATGTCTTTTCTGGGTGGTTTGAATTTGGATTTCTTAGTAAGAGCAGCTTATTTGGCAGTATTAGTTTTGATGATTGAATATAGTAGTAAGGAAATAAAAGTAGACTTTTAAAGTTCATCTTTAGTTATTTGAGTTTAAATGAAAAGAACAATTATTTTGTTGAAGTAATTCAGCTAGGTTACCCATAGTAAGATAAAATAGTCTAGAATTTCTCAGAGCAGTTAAAAATTAAGGAAATAATTCACATGTTTATTTTGTAGCCATCATTTGGTTATTTTATTAGATCACCAGAGAAGAGAGAACCTGTTGCTCTCATAAGAAAATCTGATGTATCAAGAAGTAATTTGGAAAAAGAAGTGGCTCATCTTAACCATGATATATTTTCAGGTAATGAATTAAATGAAGGAGTGTTTAGTAACCTTTTTTTTTACCTATAAGTTAGTGGTTATATGATCATGTTCTTATAAGAGTGAAAATGTATATATTGTTTTGAACTTTTTTCAGTATTACAGATATTCTTCTTCTCTAACCCACATTGCCTTTTTAGTTGAAAGTGGAAACAAGATGCCAAAATCCATCTAAATCCTTTTGTAAAAAACCAAAGTAAATATAACTTTTTCAAATGGGCTAGTTAATTTTGACCTGTTAAACTACTGCGTTAGTGAACTGTAGTTACTATTATTATATTTAGGTAGACTATTGGTTTAAAAGGTATTTTGAGATTTTGACTATGATAGTCTAAGTATGATAAATATCCATGATAAATTTTTTTTTTAAGATTTATTTATTTATTTAGGGGGTTGGTGAGGGGTAGAAGGAGAAAGAGAATCTCCAGCAGACTCCCTGCTTAGCATGGAGCCCAATGTGGGCTCGATCTTAGAACCCTGAGATCATGACCTGAGCCAAAATCAAGAGTTGGGTGGTTAACCAACTGAGCCACCAGGCACCCCTCTATGATAAATATTTAAAATCAAACTTTCTTGATAATAACATACAGTTATTGAACACCTACTTTTTGTTAGTACAGTGCCTGGTGCTACATATATAAAATTGTACAAAATATGCTCCAGTCCTTAAAGAGCCTGTATCTAGTAGAGGAGTTGGGATAAAGGAGCTATATATAAAATTAGGTGATTTTCTATTGTAAAGAGGGACTCATTTTTATTTTTATTTTTAGAGAGCGTGCGTGCGTGAGCAGTGGGGGAGGGGCAGAGAGAGAGAATCTCAAACAGGGTCCACACTCTCAACAACCCTGAGATAATGACCTGAGCTGAAACCAAGAGTCAGACGCTCAACCAACTGAGCCACCGAGGTGCCCCAAGAAGTACTAATTTTTGAATTCAGCTTATTGTATATTTGTGAAATGTTTAAAGCTGAAAATATTAAATGAGTTTGTCAGTATTTGAAACGGAGAGATTAAAATCCACAATCTTCTTCAAAGTTTAAACTTGGCAAAATCAAATTAACAGTGCCCTGATCCTTTGCCCTAGTGACCGTACATTTAAATAGTTTTTGTGAAGATGACTTTTAATTGAGGTACAAAGACTCTGTCTTGGCAATTAATCATGTTGAGTGGTCCTTATCCTACAGATTGTTTCTGTGAGACAGTATATAGATGTAAGTTGAATTATTGTATATTTTCTATAGGAGACTTAAAAGCACAGCTAAATGAAGGATCAGTTACACTTCAGGCTGAAGAACTGGAGAGTATTTCACAAGTGGATGAAAGTGATGTGACATTAACTGCCAATAACTGCAAAACAGAGGTATCTTGAGCTTTCCATAGAGAAAAACTAAAACTGCATTGTCATTGTTCTTGTCTAAGATCAATATAAAGTCACATGTGAAAAATGTATGCAGTATAACATTGGTTGGTTTTTCTTGGATTCAGTTTTATTATAAATGTCCTTCAAATTTTTAGAAACATTTTAATCAACATATAATAAATATACATGCTAAGTACATACATACTAAACATAATAAGCATACATAAATTTATTTATAAAACAAACTTGCAGTCAGTGAGTTACCACAACTTACCTGTGTATACCCCCAGATCAAGGAAGAGAACACCACTAGCAGCTCAGAAACCATTTTTTTTTTGCCCATTCTGAGCACTACTCCTCCTATCCACTATTAATTTTGCCCGTTTTTGAACTTTATTTACAAGAAATCATGTACCATGTATTCTTTCTCTTTGATTTTTTTCACTTGTGTTTACTAGGTGCAACTATGTTAAGTACAAAAGAAACTTATTTTCATTACTATATATAGTATTCTATTATATGAATGCCCTGCATTTGCTATGCCCATTAGACATGTCCATTGGACATTTGGGGTCTATCTTATGTTAATATGACACTGTGGCTTTATAAGTCTTGTTACCTTATTTTTCATGTTAAGTATCTTGACTGTTCTTGGCCCTTTGCATTTCCACATATGTTTTAAAATCAGATTGCCACCTTCAGCAAACCAACAAGTAGCACTGTTGGGCTTTTAACTGGTGTTCCATTTAATCTCTAGAACCGTCAAATTGACACCTTTATAATTCTGAATCTTATAATTCATGAAAATTACATATCCTTCCACTTAGGTTTTAATTTTTCTCTGTATTTTATGGTTTTTGTGTGTGCAGAGATTACAAACATCTTTTGTAAATTGCTTTCTAATTTGTTGAAACAGTGTTTTAATACTACCTTTCTTAGCTTCACTCTTCCTTTTTTTGGCTAAACGGAAATACATGTTTTTTTAAAATACTTAACTTATATATAGCAACCATGCCAAATTTACTATTAACTCTAATAATTATCTGTAGATTCTTTGGATTTTTCTGTATATGCAGTTTTATCTTCTGAGAATAACAATAGTTTTGTTCCTTTCTGATTTTGATACCTTCAATTTCTTTGACTGGCCTACCTTATTATACCTCAGAGCAGTGTTGAAGAGAAGGAATGATGTTGGGTTTCCCTGACAGGGTGGGAAAGCTCTTCAGTATTTATTTTTAAATTGGATATGTGCTACTGTGTGACCAACTAATATTTGACAAAGCAGGAAAGAATATCCAATGGAAAAAAGACAGTCTCTTCAACAAATGGTGTAGGGAAAACTGGAGAGCAACACACAGAAGAATGAAACTGGACCACTTTCTTAGATCATACACAAAAATAAATTCAAGATGGATGAAAGACCTAAATGTGAGACAGGAAACCATCAAAATCCTAGAGGAGAATATAGCAACATCTCCAACCTCAGCCATAGTAACTTCTCACTAGACACGTCGCCTGAGGCAAGGGAAACAAAAGCAAAAATGAACTATTGGGACTTCATCAAGATAGAAAGCTTTGCGCAGTGAAGGAAGCAATCAACAAAACTAAAAGGCAGCCTACAGAATGGGAGAAGATATTTGCAAACGATGTACCTGATAAAGGGCTAGTATCCAAAATCTATAAAGAACTATCAAGCTCAACACCCAAAAAACAAATAATCCAATTAAGAAATAGGCAGAAGACATGACTAGACTTTTTTCCAAAGAAGGCATCCAGATGGCTAACAGACACATGAAAAGATACTCAGCATTACTCATCATCAGGGAAATACAAATCAAAACCAAGATGAGATACCACCTCACACCTGTCAGAACGGCTAAAACTAAAAACACAGGAGACAACAGATGTTAGCAAGGATGCGGAGAAAGGGGAACCCTCTTACACTGTTGGTGGGAATGCAAACTGGTGCAGCCACTCTGGAAAACAGTAGAGGTTCCTCAAAAAGTTAAAAACAGAACTACCCTATGACCCAGCAATTGCATTACTAGGTATGTACCCAAAGGATACAAAAATACAGGTTCGAAGGGGCACATGCACCTCATTGTTTATAGCAGCATTATCAACAATAGCCAAACTATGGAAAGAGCCCAAGTGTCCATTGACTGATGAATGGATAAAGAAGATGTGGCATATATATAAAATAGAACATTACTCAGCCATCAGAAAGAATGAAATCTTGCCATTTGCAACAATGTGAATGGAGCTAGAGTGTATTATGCTAAGCAAAATAAATCAGAGAAAGACCAACACCATGTGATTTTACTCATATTAGAATTTAAGACACAAAACAAGAACATGGGGAAAAAAGAGGTAAAACATAAGAGCTTAACTATAGAGAATAAACTTGAGGGTTGCTGGAGGGAGGTGGGTTGGGGATGGGCTAAATGGGTAATGGGCATTAAGGAGGGCACTTGTTACGATGAGCACTGGGTGTTATATGTAAGTGCTGAATCACTGCATTCTACTCCTGAAACCAACATTGTACTGTATGTTAACTAACTAGAATTTTAAATCTGGAAGATTAGATGTGTGCTGTAGGTTTTTATTTATCATCGTTTTTAAAAATTCCCTTCTGATACTTGTCTGCTAGTTTGTTTTGTTTTTAATTTGTAAGGAGGTTGAATCTTGTCAAATGCTTTATTGTGTCTGTCAAAGTAAGCATCAGCTTTCTTTTTTTCTGGTAATGTGGTGAATCACAAGAAATAGTTTTTGAATATTCTACTGTTCTTCTATACTTGGAATATACCTATCCTTTTTATAGATCATTGGATTTGGTTTGCTTATGGTCTTTTCAGAATGTTGTGTCTGTGTGAGTGAGCAGAATGCCTTTTTGGTTTCGGTATCAAGGTTTTGATCGTCTCATTTTCTTCTGTTTTTCTGAAAGAGTATAAGAATGGTGCTGTTATTTTTATTTTTTTTTTTTAAGATTGGTGCTGTTAGATTTTGGTAGAGTACATTGGTGAAATCCTCAGAGTCTGGAATTTTCTTTAATACTTTTTAATTGCTGATTCAATTTTTTTTAAAGATTTTATTTATTTGAGAGAGAGCGAGTGTGCACAAGTGCATGAGCGGGGTGAAGAGCAGAGGGAAAGGGAGAGGAACAAGCAGACTCCCCACTGAGCAGGGACCCTGATACGGGGCTCGATCCCAGGACCCCAAGATCATGACCTGAGCTGAAGTCAAGACACTTATCTGACTGAGCCACCCAGGTGCCCCTCAGTTTCTTTAAAAGTTACAGGACTATTCTGATCTTTAAAACTTGTGTCAGTTTTAGTAAATTGTAGTTTCCTAGGAATTAGAACCTTTCATCTAAACTTGAAAATATATCACTCCATATAAATTGACAAATATTGACCATAATATCCTCTTGTGATTGTTTAATATTTTAGGTTCTTAAGGAATGTCTTCTTTGTTATATATTGGCTCTTTTCCCTCTCTTTTCTCTTAGTCATTCTTACCAGGTACTTCTCAATTTTATTAATTCATTAATTTTATTCTCTGTTTTCTATTCAGATTTTTTGGTCTTTATTTCCTTCCTTAAATTTTCTGGGGATTTAACTTGTTGTTTTTCTAACTTCTGGAGATAAATGTTTAATTTTTCTTCCTTTCTGCTTTCCTTACATAAACATCTAATGGTGTAAATTTTCCTGAAAGCAGGAATTTTGTTGCATCCGTACTATTTTTTACATCAGATATTTTTTGATACATGATACTGTCTTTATTATTCCATTTAATGTATGTTCTAATTTCTCTGGTCTGTTGTGTTTTGCAAGTGTATTGCCCAATTTCCAAACATTTAGGGGTTTTCCAGATTTTAAAATATTGAGTCTAGGCCTTTGAAATTTGCTGAAACATGATATATGGCTCAGCATTTGTTCCATTTTTGAAAATATTTTCTGTGCACATAATGGGAATGTCTGTGGTGTGATCTTTGGTTGCTCTCTTCTGTATATTTTATTTAGGTAAATTTTATTAAATCATAGTAATGAAACTATATCCTTAAAATTATTGTACTTGTTCTTTCAGTTACTTAGATATTAAAATCTCACACTATGATTATGGATGTTTCTGTTATTCACTGTGAGTCTGGCGGTATTTGCTTTAAAAATTTTGAAGCTGTGTTTTTAGGTACATACAAATTAGAATTGTTCTCTCTGGTGAATGAGACCTTCTGTCATTGTGTATGACTGCCTTTGTTTGCAGATAAAGCGCTTTATGCCTTAAGTCTAGTCTGATATTAACATAGGTAACACCAGCTTTCTTTCTTTATTGTTTATTGTTTGCATGTTACATCTTTTTCTATTTTGCTTTTAACCTTTTACAGGAAATGTCACTGAAATAATTTGAGGCCATGGGAGATTTAATCTTCCAGACAGGATTTATGTTTGCTTCTGACATGAATGAGGAACACCAGCAAGACATAAATAGGAACCATGGGTAAACAACTGAAATGGAACCAACAGCAAAGAAACATAAACCTATTTAATATTTAAAAATGCAAGTTAAGACTTCGGTCTCCAAGTAATAGCAGACTAAGTAATGCAAACCAACTCTGGCTGACAACAGTTAGAACTGGATAACATATCCAGAAGCATCTTTTAGAAGGTACTGGAGAGCTAAAAAAGGAGCAAAAAACTATTGGGCCAAAATCCAAGAGAAGAAAGAATCCCAGTACTGAGAGTGCTCTTCCCTGTGGGGATCTGTTGCTTCAAGAAGATGCTGTGGATAAAATTTTAAGAAGAAACTCAGCAAAGGTGTTCTTATGGGAGTGAGGGTATAAAAACAGAGTTCAGTGCCTACCAATGATGAGAGGTAGGGAGAAGCCGTGGTAAACAATCATGCTTTAGGATGAGACCACAAAGGGTTACACACCCTAGGATAAAAGGCAAACCAAAATTAGGCTGGCCCTCGTAAGGACTGAGGGCCAGCTCCAATCAGCTCAATCCCAGTACCTGGATCAAAGTGATCTGAGACTGCTGGTGTTCCTCATTTCTTTTTTTTTTTTTAAAGATTTCATTTATTTATTTGACAGAGAGAGACACAGCGAGAGAGGGAACACAAGCAAGGGGAGTGGGAGAGGGAGAAGCAGGCCTCCCGCGGAGCAGGGAGCCCGACGCGGGGCTCGATCTCAGGACTCTGGGACCATGACCTGAGCCGAAAGCAGTTGCTCAACAACTGAGCCACCCAGGCGCCCCTGGTGTTCCTCATTTCTAACAATTGAATGAAATTACCAAGGATTATATTTGGAATCACAGTGGCTCGTTGGTTTCTCGATCCCAGTATCTTAATGTTTTATTTTAAATTATTGTCTGGTTCAGTTTTAACACCTCCTTAGCATCTCTTTAACTCCTGAAGATTTTTTAAAAAATAATTGATAATCTAATTTTGTGAGTAACCCAGTACTCTGTAATTAAAGTTGATAACAACTGTCTTTTTTAAAATTAGGGTATTTAATTGGTATACCATTAATTTCTAGCTGCTGTTAAGTTTTATGTAACATCTAAAGATTAAACTAATATGTACATGTCCATGAAACTGAGATAAATTTATCTGATGTGAATTTTCTCCTTTCTAGGACAGTTTCTTCATGAGTAGCAAACCCCGAAGATACAAAAGCAAGCCACCCATTGATGGTGATTCTGTACTTAGGATAAGCACCATTGCTTCAGCCATTGCAGATGCATCAGTAAGTACTGATCCTTCCCAACTTGCTGCCATGATCAAGGCACTTTCAAATAAAACCAGAGAGAAGACTTTTCAGGAAGATAATAAACAAAAGGACTATTCCACTGTGCCTCATTTCTTGCCTAATGATACAGAAAAAAGTAATGGATCCAGCATGTTTGATATGGAGAAATACCTTAAAAAAACAGAAGTCAGTAGATATGAAGGTGGACTGGAAAACTTTTCAAGAGCTGGTACATCTGATCGGTGGGATTTATCTTTGCCAAAAGAACAGTTTACACGAGACATCCATACAGTGGACTTAGGTGCTGCTGATATAAGTATAAAGGAACCAGAAGAAAATACAGCATTTACTTTTTATGGTGAAAATGGAGAGAGCAAGAATCAAGAATCATTTAGAACAAACTGTCCAAATTCAATTCTTATAAATAGAAAAGAGAATGAAAGTACAATAGTTGATGTGAAGACATATCCTCTTGACAACAAATTACCAGATACTGGTAACTGCAAAACAGCCACCTCAGTATCCACTCTAACATCTAATAGTTATTCATTAGTAAGGAACCCCAGGATAGCATCTGTTTGGCTGTCAGGAGAATGTGAGGAAATAACAAATAATAGAGAAAATCAGAGGCAAAATGAGTGTGTTAGTGAAGCAAGCAATGGTGAAAAACATGTGACTTTTGGAAAACATTCCATAATTACGCCTAAAAATGTTGGTAAGTGTTGAAGTAATTGGTCACATTCACAAAATTACAGGTGATTTTTGTTGTTGTTCTCATTGAAAAATAACACCTTTCTGATAGATTTGAAAAATCACTCTCCTGAGCATGGTGGACATGGGTCAGAGGATGACCAGGATAGCTTCAGACCTTCCTCTTCTCCACTGAGTCATTCTTCTCCTAGTGAAATTTCTGGAACAAGTTTATCAGGGTAGGTGCTTACCTTTTTTTTTTTTCTTTAATAATAAAAATATGTGTTCAGTATAAGAAAATTGGAAAAAGTGTAAAGAAGAAAAATAATTATTTATGGGTTCATTTCTCAAAGGTAACCATTGTATATATTTTGTGAATTTGTTTCAGGCCATTTTTCTGTGCAAGTTTTTGTACTTTGTTCTCACTTATTATAATGATTCTTTGTATTTAAGAGAAAATTAGTCTGCACAGTGAATCAGCCACGGATTATTTGATGCCTTTGGTGGATAATGGGAGATACTATATTTTACTGTGTTTTGTCATTTTATTTTTTGTTTTGCCATTTTAATGATACTGAGATGAACAGCTTTGCCCATAAAATTTTTTTTCCATGTTTGATTGTTTCCTAAGGATAGATAAGTAGAAGTGAAATTCCCAACTCAGGAAATTATTAGCAAATTATTTTCTAAATAGGTCTTAAAGACTTGCGTTCTTACCATCAGTGTATGATGAGAGTATCCATCTCACTGTTTTCTTATCAATATTTTAAATCGCTTAAAGGTTTGGATATTTTTTATCTTGTATTAATTTGATTTTTTAATGCTAATGAGATTGGTAAATACTTTTTCAAGGGTTAGAAGAATCCTAATACTTCATAGGTTTTAACTCAAGTTATAAGAACTTTTTAAAACATAATTTTTCAAAAATGCCATAATTTGCATTATTCAAAAGTACGCATATGTGTGTGTATAACTTTTGAACAGTGTAAATTTATTGCTTTATGAAATGTTTATATGTGTATTTATAAATGTATATATGTGTATATTTGAAATGTATACCTGTGTATATATGTGTATATGCACTCATGTGCATGTGTGTATTTTCCTACATTACCGTGTTCCTTTTCTGCCTAGTTCCCCAATCCCCTCACCAGGGAACTGCTGTTATTAGTTTCTTAGGTATTCTAGAGTTTCTTTATGCATGCATAACCAAATATGAATATATATTCTTACTGTCATTCCTTTTTATACTCAATATAGAGTCCTTTATGCACTTACTTATATTTTGCTATATAAAGTTACTTATTACAGCTTCATTTGTATTATAGTCACTTTGGTCATGTGAAATAGATCTATAGGATAAGTTCCCAGAAATGGAGATTTTTGGATCAGAGTATTTGCATTCATGTACCTATTTAAATTAGTACAACCATGTCATAGAGGTTGTACTGGTTTAATTATCCCACCAACAATTTAAGAGAGAGCCTGTTTTCCCACAGCCTCATCAACAGAATGTTTATAAAACTTTTTGATGGTTGACATTTTGATAGGTGAAAGAAATAGTATCTCAGTATAACTTTAATTCATATTTTTTAGGAGTGATAATGAGCATCTTTTCCTCTATATTTGTATTTCCTTCACTATGAAATATCTATTCATATTTGTTGCACATTTTTCTCATGGATTTTTAGTCTTTTTTGTCTCCATTTCTAGGAGCCCTTGATGTATTAGGCAGAATGAATAGCCCTTTGTGATATGAGTTATATATCCTAGTCTATAGAAGCATTTTTTTTCTTTTTACTTTGCTTGTATTTTTTTGCCATACAAAAAGTTTATTATTAAATTTACGAATTTTGTCTTTTATGGCTTTTTTTTTTTTTTTTTTAAAGAAAGCAGGGAGGGAGAGAGAATCTTAAGCAGGCTCCACATCTGGTGCAGAGCCTGATTTGGGGCTCAGTCTCACAACCCTGAGATCATGACCTGAGCCGAAATCAAGAGTTGGACATCTAACTGACTGAGCTACCTAGTTGCCCCTTTTATGGCTGTATAAAGTATCTTTTATATGTTTCTCTATTGAAAGATTTTAATAAACAGAAAAACTTACCTAAACAGTAAAATTATTAAAAATGTTCAATATTTTGAAACAGGTTGAAATTATATCTGATTTCAAAGTTATCTATTAGGTATTTCCCTGGCTGCCATTGGAGTTTTGCATATTCATCTGAAATGGTATGGGTAAGCTAGAGTTAACAATTAGTAGAGGGCTTAAATTCTTTCCTGTTTCAGTGACTCTTCGATACCTTGTCTTGAAACACTTTTTCATATATACAGCCACCTCTTACTTAACGGCTCATGTTTATAAAACGTTAGAAGTCATCCAGCTCTACCAAATTTGAAGGTCATCTGGCCTTGACTTGTCATGATGGATGTCATCTACTGATTTTTCTCCTTTATCTCCCCTCTAATATTTGTCTGTAAAGTCATCTGAATGTTTATCTTTGTACCGTTAAATATGCTTCTGCTTCTGACACTTGTTTTGCCAGCTTTTAAATGATGTTCTTTGAGTCCCAACTGTGTTAGTTTCCCATGCCTTCCATAACAAAGTGTCACAAACTGGGTAGCTTAAAACAACAGAAAGGTATTGCCTCATACTCTGTAGGCTAGAAGTTCAGGGCCATGTTCTCTCTGAAGCTTTTTTGGGGAGGGGGCGCAAGGCTAGCTCAGTTGGTAGAGCATGTAACTCTTGATCTTGGGATTCTGAGTTCCAGCCCCTTGTTGGGTGTAGAGATTACTTACAAATAAAAAAATCTTTAAACTGAAGCTTTTAGGGGAGGATTCTTCCTTACCTCTTCCAGCTTCTGGTAGTCATAGGCGTCCATCGGTTTGCAGATGAATTATTCTAATCTCTGCCTCTGCATTCACATTGGATTAAGGGTCCAGCCTATTCCACTATGACCTTATTTTAACTAATTACATCTGCAGTGACCCCATTTCTAAATAAGGTCACATTCTGAAGTATTGGGGGTTAATACTTTAACATATGTTTTTATGGAAACACAGCTCAACCCATAATAGTGTCTATCACCAGTGAGAGCTTATTCTCATGTTCTTTCCCTTTCTACTTTTTTCTTTTTTAGTTACATAATTTCTGCATTGGCATTTCATTTGCATTTTGATTCATCCTATCCTATACTTGTTTAGTTTTTATTCTTTAGTTAAATATATTCTTATTTTTTATTTTACTATGCTATGTTAGTCACCATACATTACATCATTAGTTTTTGATGTAGTGTTCCATGATAAATATATTCTTTTCTAGCCATCAGGTGTTTCCTCTCTCTCGACTGACTGAAGTATATCCTATGGTAGTTTGCTCAGAGGACAGAGGGAACATTACTCGCTAGGCTCATGTTCCACAGTTAACCTGTGGCTTTTGTAATGAAAGCATAGCGTGGCTTTGTTTAAAATCTTCGGCTTATGCTTTCCTCCCTTAAGTCTTTTGTAGGGATTGCTTTACTGTCTCTGTGGAATGAAGGAGGGAAATCTGAGGCACCCCAATTCTTTCTGCCTCAGAATTGACTTGATCTTTTTGTAAGCTTATGCCGAAGATGCTCTCTTTCAAGTCTAGTTTAATTTTATTAGGCTATATCTCTGTGTTGACTCTTCATGGTTATTTTGTCGCATCATACAGTATACCCTTCAGTATGTGAATTTATTTATTTAAGGAAAATTTGCCACAGCCCTTTACTGCCCCCAGAACTCTAGTGATGCATATGTGGGATCCATTTTGCTTGATGTCTGCATTTATTTTCTCTTTAATCCTTTAAGAACTTACTATTTTGGAAAAATTATAGATCACAAAGATACCACCCAGTTTCCCCTAGTGGTTACATCTCTCATAATTTTAGCATGGTGTCATCACCAGAAACTTGTCATGGGAACAGTGAATGTGTGGGTAGAATTCAGTGTCATTTTATCACAGGTGTGAATTCATGTAACCACCACCACAATCAGAGATACAGAATTTGACCATCACTGCAATGATCTGCCTCTTTCTTAATTTCTGTTTCATCTTATTTGCATTTCACATTTTTTATCTCTGCATTCCTTACAGTGTTTTCTGCAATGTTTCTTTCCCCCTGTGTACTTTCCAGTTTCATCTTGTTTTCTGTGGTTTTGATATTTTTTAATTGTATATGAAGGCATTTAATAAAAATATAAGTACTCTTATATAAAGCCTTACATTATTATTTTTTCTGTCACATTGCCCTTGGTCAGAGAGAATGCTGGCTGGCTGGTCTCACTCTTGGACCCACCTGATTTTTTTTTTTTGTCCTTCTAAGAAAATATACTTATCTGTTATGTATAGGAAATAGACCTTAGGGGGATACTAAAGTTTCTCATGAACTTGGTATATGTTCAGATATTTTGAATGAGGGTGTCATATTTAACCTTTCTAAAGTGACCGTGGAATCGGTAAGCTTACTCCACATGCATAAGCTAGCCAGGCACCTGCAACCCCGCTTCTTAGTGTGGGGCAAAACAACAGGACTTAATGAGAAAAGGCTAATTTAGAAGAGGGTAAGTGTGCCCTGAATTAAAATCGCAGGGGAAGATGAAATGAGAGTGATGCAGTGTTGCTGAGTTACTCAGCACACGTGTTTTGCTGCCATAGCCACCAAAGCAAATACGAATTGAGATCAGTCTCTGGTATGTAGATTAATCAATCCATGAATCATTTGGGGGTGTGGTTTAGCCTACTAGTGTGCTCACTGGCAGATTTTTGGCCCACTCCTAACCCAGTTTTAGGATTTCACAGTATGCATTGTTGTATTTTATTTTTACTGATGTATAATTAACATACAGTAAAATACACGGGGTTTCATTTAGTGGGTTTCTGACACTTACATACACCTATGGAAACACCACCACCTAAAATATATAGAACATATATGTCCCTCCATTAACAATCCTTTGCCTTTTTCAAGTCAGTTCTCCTCCTCCTTCCCCACTCCCACCCTGCCACCACTTCCTGATTTGTATCATCATAGTTTAGTTTTGTCTGTTACTACATTTCATATGCACGGAATCACACATATTTCTGTGTCTAGCTTCCAACGCTTTAACGTGTTTCTGAGATTCATCCTGTGGTTGCCTGTAGCAGTAGCTCCTCGTGCTTGTTGCTGTGTAGCACTCCGTTGTGTGACTGTGGTCATGCTGTGTGTCTTTTCCTGTTGCACAATACGCATTTTCATCTAAGCCTCATTTCCAGCTCTGTTTTAGGTTCCTGCTACAGCTTTCTCTCCTTTTTCCCTCGTCAGCTTCAAATGCCTGTGTCAGTTTCTTAGTTGGTTTTCCTGGACTATGATAAACTCTGTATACACAGTTATTTCTTCAACCGAGGAAGTTTTGTTTTCTGTTACCTTTGATGGTTGACTGTGTTCCATCTATTCTCTCTTCCTTTTGAGAACCCTGGTTTCCCATTAGTTGACACTCCATTCTCTGGTCATTTATGACTGTTTTCTTTTCCCTAATTTTCATTTCTTTTTCCTTTACTCTGTATTGTGGGGTAGTGGCTCAAGTGTTTATCTTCTGCATCACTGATTTTCTGTAGCATCAATTAGGCTTTTTATTGCTGCCAACATTGACTTTGATTTTATGTTCATTTATTTTTATTGAAGTTCTCCTTGTACTTCTTTATTATGGTAAAATGAGTGTGATTTTTTTTTTTTTTTGAGTGTGATATTTTTATTCTTTTTCTCTGGTTTCTACCAACTTGTATTGCTTTTTTTTTTTTTTTTTTTTTTAAGACTATTTGAGAGAGAGAGCATGAGTGCGTGAGTCGGGGGTGGGGCAGATGGAGAGAGAGAAGCAGACTCCCCACTGAGCAGGGAGCCCGATGTGGGGCTCAATCCCAGGACCTTGGGATCATGACCTGAGCTGAAGGCAGATGCTTAACAGGCTGAGCTGCCCAGATACCCCTAAGTTCTGTTTGTTTGTTTGTTTTTTTAATATTTACGGTATACTATTGGCCAGAATTTTCATCTTTTCAGCAGCAACATTTTTTTGGTGCATGTACTTTATCTGATAAGTTTTGCTGCTCATTAGCATTCCTCTTAGCTAGTCTTCTAGCTTGTTTCCAGCAGGTCCATAGAGCTGATTTAGACCTTCTAGTCCCAGAACCGCCTTTGTATCTCTGTGTGGCTGGCACCTTGGCAGTTTTGGGATTCCTTTGAAGTTTGACATCTCAACTAAAATTTCTTTATTTCCACGTGTTCATTTTTTTTTTTAGCGGAGGAGGAGTAGAGGGAGAGGGAAAGAATCTTAAGCAGGCTCCACACCCAGCACAGAGCCCAACACGGGGCTTGATCTCACAACCCTGAGATCCTGACCTTAGCCTAAATCAAGAGTTGGGACACTTAACTGACTGAGCCACTCAGGCATTCCTATTTCCGAGTGTTCTTACAGTTCACGTCTCATTATTTGAGGTAATACACCCAAATGCATTGTTCCTTTCAATCAAAACTAGACTAGGGGTGCCTGGGTGGCTTAGTCAGTTAAGTATCTGCCATCGGCTCAGGTCATGATCTCATCATGATCTCAGGGTCCTGGGATGGAGCTCCACATCAGGCTCCCTGCTGAGCAGGGAGTCTGCTTCTCCCTCTCGCTCTGCCCCTCTTCCCTGCTTTTGCTCTCTCTCTTGTGCTCTCACTTGTTCTCTCTCTCTCAAATAAATAAATAAATAAATAAATATCGTTTAAAAAAAAAAAGGAACTAGACTAGTAACAGCGCATCACCCCAGTAACCCAGAACTTTTTTCATGTTGTATTATGGTATCTGTGTGTGTGTGTGTGTGTGTGTGTAAGTATGTGCATGCATATAGGAACCCATGTGGGTGCATGTCATGCAGAAGCTAAAATAGGCCTGAAGCAATTTGGTTAATATTCTGTCTCCACTGGTTAGAAATACACTAACTATAGTTTTTTGTCAATACCACTGTCTTGATTTGGGGCTTTTTAAAAGTCCGAAATTAAAAATGGGATTTTCTCTGTGTTTGTTGCCCAGCTTAGTATTCAGAACTTTGTGCAAAAAAAAAAAGGGATGGGGTAAAATTCAATCAAATAAGAGCTAACTGAAATGAAATGGCACAGTGTGCATGCAGTAGGACAGCAGCTGTTCCTGTCCGGTATGACTTTGCCATTCTCTTTGGGCGGTGCTTCCTTTTTTCTCTCCTTATGTCGGGCTGGGCTGGCCCTGGGATGGGTATTGGCCAACAACATGGCGTGTGTATTAGGTAGATGTGAAATCTTACTATATTTATTGCTTTCTAATCTTTTTTCTTTAATGTCATGAACATCTTTCTGAGTCAAAGGATAGTACTTAACAGTATGATTTAAAGTACCTGAGTAGTGTTTTATTGTATGTTTGTGCCATAATTTCCATAGCCTAATTTCTCTTATGTGTTTAAGATATATCCTTTTGGCAGAGTCTTTATAATTAGCATTGATTTTTTTTTTTCCTTAGGATTAATTCCTAGATGTAGAATGTTTGAGTCAAAGTGTTTTGGTATGCATTGCTTAATCGCTTAGTCAAAAGTCGTCCCACATCTTATTCCGCTCAGCAGTGTATGACTGATCCCATTTCTTTGAACTTACGTACATGATTCTTTTTTTTCATCTGTGCTCTTTGAGGGCAGGAACTTTTGAATGCTTGGTTCATTGCTTTATATCAGGTATTCGATAAATGTTTATCAAATGAATACCTAACATTGTTATGCAACTATATATGAAATTTATTAATGAAAATGCCACAGTCTTTTTTTTTTTTTTTAGAATAATTTACCAGGTGCTTTATTCAATGGGAATATGATTTACAATTTTAGATTAAAAGTCCATGGTTGAGTTACCATATATGGCAGCTAGAGCAGAGAGTATAGATTAACAAGCTTGTAGGCAAGCAGAAATGTTTTTTTGTTAGTGTAGATAATGTTAGATAAAGGAATGGAAAACTAATCAACAAGATGTTCTCCCTTTCAGGTGTGCTTTAGAGTCTTTTGGTTCAGCAGCTCATCAGAAGCCCCCCTGTGAGAGTGAGTCGTCTCAATTGGTGTGTCCACAAGCTAGTGTGAGTAGGTTGACTTACGTGTCTGAACAAGAGAGCTCCTGTCCTACTACGGCCTCAGATCATGGCCTTGAGGGCTGCAAGGTGGGCAGCATTTCTGTTATTTCTTTACTAAGGCTTATGGCTTTAAAGTCAATGGTTGTAGGAGTCAGACTGAAGTTTAGGCCTGTGTAATTTCTGTTGCTGTTTTAATTTAAAATGTGTTTGTATGTGTGCATGTATGTGCGTGTGTGTTTTGATCAAATAGCTACCCTTGCTGAGTAGGCAGTAGAAGTACAACTATTTTAATCTTTCAGTCTGGTGGAGGACACTTGCCAGGCACACTGGAATGAAGTGCACTATGATCCACCTATGCTGTGGGATTCAGAGGTAGTTAACTACAAATGTGACTGGACTTAGTGATGGTTCAACAAAGGTTATTGGGAGGGATAAGTAATATACCAAAGCTGTATTTTGTAAGACTAGTTGGCAGGGAGGAAGCAGACTAACAAATGAAGGTAAATATGGAGTTATAAAATGCACACTGCATTTGAAGGACCCCTGGAAGTTTGGCATGGCTGCAGTGAATTTTACATGGGAAAAGGAGAAGAGGCCAAACCATGAAGAGTCTTGAATGTAAAATTTGGGAGTTCAGCGGCTCATAAGCAGGACACTGACATGATCTGTGTTGATGTTTTATTTTATTTATTTATTTATTTGAGAGAGAAGTGAGCGCATGAGCCGGGGTGGGGTCAGGGCAAAGGGAGGGGAGAAGCAGGCTTCCCACTCAGCAAGGAGCCTGACACAGGGCTCCGGCCTAGGAACCCTGGGATCAGGACCTGAGCCAAAGGCAGACGCTTAACCCACTGAGCCACCCAGGCGCCCCTTTGTTGATGTTTTAAAAGCTCGTGGCACTAGCAGTGTGGAGGAGGCACTGAGCAGGGGCAAGATTAAAACCAGGAGACTTTGACACAAGGCTGCCGTACTCTGACAAGAGATGGTTTGGGCTTGGATTGAGGTAGTGGCAGTGGGGGTGGGAGAGAAGCAGGTAGATCTGAGAGATTTATGTGGGAGAAGCTAGACTTTGTGTGTTCTGTGAATATGACAGTGTTCAGTTTTTTAATGAGCTGAATATGACTGTTGTGTTCAATACAGTCCTCTTCCACCTAGCCCTTACTAAATATATCCACTAAAGTTACTATATATATGGTGTCACGTTGGACAAATCATTGAAAGCCATCTTTTTGATGATGCTGGTAAGTGTTGGGTCTCTTTGTTCTTAGCTAGTGGTTACAGGCTGAGTTGTAGAGTTAGATGGGCTATCTTCTGCTGTTTTCTGAGATAGACTATAACTTCCCCAAGCCTGTTTCTTCATCTCTAAGGAGGGACAGTGATGTGAGAACAGGGCTTGGCACCAAGAAGTTACCACTGAATGCGAACTGGCTGTTAACTTATTTTTGTGGATTGATTGGTTGATGATGTCTGGTAAATAACCTGGTCTTTGTTTATTAATGTCTATTTCTGTTTGGTTTAAGAGAAGTTTTCAAACCAAGCGTAGAGAATAGTCCGTTTAAGTGCATCTTATATATAAATTCCATTGGTCCACCCTGCAGGGCATAGACATCACTCCTAAGGTGATGCCTTATAATGAAATGAGTATATGAACATTGAATGGGCTGTTACTTCTTACCTAAGAAAACACAACCACATAATCTTAGACATTGGAAAAGACTTAGTGCTCATAGAAATTAGCATCTTCAAGCCTAACAGTGGTATAAACAAACAACAGGCATGGGAAAGCCTATGAGCTGTGTTGATTCTTCCTGACCTTGTGTCAATTTCATTTGAAAGCTTGCTCAGCCCCCACGCCTGTGTTATTAATTTAATTAGATTTTTATTGTACAGCTTCCAGGAAAACAATCCCTTAAATTTGAATGAAAGTACTTGTCGCTGGTCCTTTGTCTGTGTAAATTTGTCAGAGATGTAATTGGTATATAGCTCTTTAATCTCCTCATAATTTCTGTGAAGCAGTAACTTAACACTTTCCAACTTTTAATCTTGCGTTTCACAGCTGTAGAAAGTTGGCCTTTTGTTCAGAGAGTTAATGTGTAGATCTCTTCTTTATTTGAGATTATACCAGCATGCTTTGCGTTAGTAATAGTTTGTGGATTATATAACATTTTTTGTCACGCACAGAGTGATGTCACCAGTGAATTGAGCACCACAATTACTCAAGCCAGTCCAATTCCATCAGAGGAACAGGCTGTGGAAAAACTGAGAGAAAAAGGTCCATTTCAAAGTAGAAGTAAAGTAGCACGGTCCTATAATCAGAAAAACTCAGCTACAGACAATGTGACTGAAATGACTTCTCTGAGTAGCAGACCTGAAGATGTAAAACCTTACTTTAGGTTGAATAAAGATCTCTCCTCCAGGAGTGGAGACCTATCAGAAATCGGTACAGTAGGGCTGACCTCTCACCCCAGTGAATTGGACCAGATCAGCCTGGCTCTACTGAGCAAGTCAGGCGTCACCTGCCCACTTGTGTCAGCGATGCCACACCGGCCTGGGGCACACCAGGCATCTGTGAACAAAGGTGAGAGAGTAGCCTCTGGAGCTGCATTAACTACCGACAGTGCAGTAAGTGGCCAGACTCCTCAGCGGATGGCCCCGGGGAACCAGGGCGCCCCTCTTCCCAGCACTGTGTCTTGGGGCTCTGCTCCTGTGATGCAGAATGTGCCCACCGCACTTCCTGCGCTCTGGACTCAACATTCTTTTACCGCAGCCCCCTTTGTCCAGCAGTATTTGGGAACACTACCTTCGGCTGGAAATGTTGCTCTGCCTCAGTGCCAAGCTGGCAGCGCCACTGTCTGTGGACCCTCGGGAAGCTGTCCATACCCTGCTGCCGTAGGAGAGCACGTTCACAACTCTGTGGCCATGGGAGGAATTTGTCTAGGACAAAATACCGGCTCTGGATTGATGGGTCCCTCTTCCCTTTATAACCCATATTCTAATGCCTTCAATCAGAATCTTCTAAGTACAGCAAAACCTTTCCCTGTGCAGTCTGTTGGTACAAACTGTGGAACTGAACCATGGGATTCAGGAATGCTGTCAGGATTTGGTAAGATGCTTTTTCTCTGTTACTGTTTATTGCTTGCTATTATTTAAAAATTGAGTTTTCTCAAGCGAGACACAAAATGAGTTTGTTTCAAGGAGATACTGGTTGGTGTGAATTTTATTCTTAATTTTATTCTTTTTCCTAAATTGAGAACACATAATATATTGCTGTGCAAGGGTCCCTGGCATGGCCTTAGAAAAACACAAACATAAGTATGCAGGTGAAACTCCCTGATGTCTTTGTCTTCCTGTCTCTCCTGTACTCTGCACTTAGATTTCTATTATTCTGTCAACTAGGAACCGCCCAGTTTTTTAGAATTGGCTCCCTGGAGGAGTGAGTCTCCTTCCACTTTTTAAAGTCTTTTGGGGGATAACAGTTGTGAGAGACAGCACCCTTCCACCCTTGTTTGCAGTGGCTGAACTGCCCCCGGATTCTTTTGCTAGATACAGCCACTCTAAGCAGAGCTGGGTGCTGTGCTTTCTCTGACACAGTGCACATGACCACTGGTATGCTGTCTTCTCTACCCTCTTTTTCTTCTCAAGGAAATTCCAAAGTTATTGCATAAGGATGGCGAAAAGATCGGCCTTATTAAAAAATTCTGGGTAGATGTGCAAACCTTGAAAGTTAGAGCCCTCTGTAAGTTTCTTATTCGGTTAGGTAGTGGCTTATATTTGTGGTAGAAAAAAGGAAGAGATTACTAATAGGCAGTAACATCGAAGAATTAATTAGCTGCAGATTGTGGGTTTGATCAATTGCATGTGTTCTTCCTGGGTTGGATACAACAGAAAAACATTGGTGGCCTGTGCTGAGGCTTATACAATGTCAAGGACTCCTTAAGACCCAGGGCACTTCATACCATAGCTCTTGGGTGTCACAGGTAGTCTTCTATAAAAATTTCCATTTACCCACTTGTGCTTTTAATCAGGTGTTTGATATAACTTGCATTTGACCATGCTTTCTCTTTACCCAGGGAAGGTAAGAGTACCTGAGGAATTGAAGTTTCCTCATGCTTGCTGTGTTGGCATTGCTTCACAGACCTTCCTCAGTGTGCTTAATCCAACTGACCGCTGGCTACAGGTCAGCATTGGGGTTCTCACCGTTAGTGTTAATGGTGAAAAGGTAAGCTTTCTGTGTCTTTCTCCTTTGACTTAGAAATCGCATTGTGACTAATGCTGGATCTCTCTCTAGTACTTTCTTTTGTACAGGGGAGTCTGTCCCCCCAATCTTCGCACAGAATCATTGCAATGGTACATGAGAAAATAACTATATCTTTTTCTTAGCCTCCCCCCCTTTTGTTGTAGTCCATCCAGTGTACTGAAAGCTCTGATTTCCACTATTTGTTGGTTTTGTTAAATGTGATTGAATATAAGTTACTGTCATTTATCAAAAAAGTTACTCTTGGGACCTATACCTTCATTCAGTAAGTGGAGTCTTTTTGACTAATTTATCTGATCACGTTCTTACATGATCTTTTTAAATATCTGGAAATACAATTTTAACATTAACTCTTATGGCAAGGGTCTCTCACATGATCAGGTAGAGGTGCTAAAATACACTATTCTAAATCTCCTTTCATGATTACGATGACCTATGTGGACATGAGTGAGCAGGGAGGGTGGTGGGAAGTACGGTCAGCAACTCCTGTCTTGGAATGTCCTGGTTTTACCACTGCTGTTTGCAGACGAGCGTTGGTGGATGAGTTTACTTTCCCTCTTACCTCCTGGTAATAACCCTTATTTACCTGGGAAAGTAAGATTATGTCTGCTCTCCCTCTGCCCTTTTCCTAGCCTTTCTTCTCTGATCCTGAGGTTAGATGGAAAGTATGTGATTGGAGGAAAGCGTTAAGGGTGAGAGGTGAGCTTGGAGGCCCTTTTAGGGGCATTTAGGAGCTAGTGTTGCCTCTGGACGTGGGAGTAGAAAAGAATGCCCTTGTGTACAGTGAGGAGGGAGGGTTTGAAGTGAGTCATAATCATGCACTTGGAGGCCTGATTAGGAACTTGGAGGTCAGTCTAATCCCCCTGATTGTGCAGCCGCAAAAACCCATCCTGGATGACATGTGGGGTGCCAGAGTACTGTTTCCAGGGGCTCTTTCAGTGGAAGTGAGAGTGTAGATAGCTGTGTTTACTTTAAAACAGACCAGACACACATTCAACTTAGCTTTGTAAGTCTTCGTAATTTTGGCGAATTGTACTTTATAGATAATGAGTTCTAAGACTTGGATATTTTGGAAGAGCAATAAATTTTTGGAGTTGATAGTTTAGGAAGAAAGGGATCTTAAACTAGTTGATCCTAATTCTTGATTTTCCTTGTGAAGCCATTTCTTAATGAACTGTATGGCTTTTTTTTTTTTTTTTTTTAAAGGTAGATCTTTCAGTATATCCTTGTTTAGTCTTCAAGAATAAAGTCATCGTAAGACCTCATGCCACAGAAGAGATAAAAGTACTTTTCATACCATCCGATCCTGGGATTTTCAGATGTATATTCAGTGTTGCTTCTTGGCCATTTTCAGCGGATGCTGAGACCATAGCACAAGCAGAAGCCTTGGCAAGCCGAGTCATTCTCACGGCTGTTGCCGAGACCCCTGTGATCGAGGTAACTACTTTAAGCAGGTCTTTGTCATGCCTGGCATTTGAATGGAGGCTGTTTAACCTTAGAAGTAATACTTGAGAAAAATGAATATGTGGGTAAATATGCCACAGAGTTACTTTCAAGCTAACCATTGATTCTTAATATCTTCTTATTTTAGAATTTAAAATTATTTCTATTATTTTACAGAAACACAGGTAAACTTGCTAGATATGGGTGTTAGTTTGAGATGTTCTGAAGTCACTAGACATATTGGGTTGTTTATTTTAAAGGAAACTAAGAAATGTAACTAGATCAGTGTTTATCCCTGGTGCTGTATGTAAACGTTGGATGTTATATTAGCCTCTTTAAATTTTTTTATTTTTAACTTTTTTTTAAAGATTTATTTATTTAAGTAATCTCTATACCCTGTGTGGGGCTCAGACTCACAACCCCTGAGTTCAAGAGTTTCATGCTCCACCAACTGAGCCAGTCACCAACTGCCCCATATTAGCCTTTTAAATATCACTTTAAGAAACAATACTGTAAGTGGTTAGGTAGGGGAAATCTTGTGTATATGTATATAGGGAAAATAAGAACAGCTGCCCTATGTTACACTAGAGTGTAAGCTGTTTGGGGGTGCAGGACGGGTGTTTCTTGTTCACTTCCAGAATAGTGCTTGGCGCATAGTAGGGGCTCAAGTAATAGTTGTTGAACTATTGATTCAAATAGAAAGTGGAAATGGTAATATTTCTAAATGTATATGGTTTTTGAAATCTTGTATTACATACTACATATATGTGTACCAAGACCAGTGAATATAGTCAGTTAGCTATTTCATCCATATTGTTAAAGGTTTATGCATTAAGTCTGGCCAAAGAAGACTTTGGGTCGTTTCTTGGGGAAATTGGATGGTTATGCATTTTATAGTATATTTATAGTTTCTTGGGGATTTTTTTTTTTGAGATTTTATTTATTTTTATTTTTAGAGAGAGAGAGAGCACATGCACAAGTGGGGGGATGGGGGAAGGGAGAGGGAGAGAATCTCAGGTGTAGACTCTGCTGAGTGCAGAGCCTGATGTGGGGCTTCATCTCACGACCCTGAGATCATGACCTGAGCTGAAACCAAGAGTTGGATGCTTAACTGACTGAGCCACCCACGTGCCCTTAAAGTACATTTATTATTTCCAGACGTGTTGGAAATGTTTCAGCTGCCTCTCTGCATCGCATCCCCCACATTGGAATCAGAATAAGGGTTGGGGAGGGGGAGAAGGAGTGAGAGATCCCATAGTGTAGTATGTGTTCGATTTATGTTAATATTTCTTGTGTGCTTGAAAAGAATGGCTCTTCTTTCTCTTGAGTGCAGAATTCTTTTACATATCCTTTAACTCTGATTTATTACTATGTGGTTCCAGTCTTCTGTATCATTACTACTGTTTCTGTGTGCTTAGTGTTTTGGCCTCTGAGAGGGGTGTTTGTGGATTTGTCTCTTTCTCCTTACGATTCTTCTATTGATTTTTGTCTTGGGTATTCTGAGCTCTGTTGTTATGTGCGTTTAGACTCAAGATCATTTTATCTTCTAAGTGAAATTGTTCCTTTTTAAAGTAACAATTCTCGGGACGCCTGGGTGGCTCAGTCCTTAAGCAGCTGCCTTCGGCTCAGGTCATGATCCCAGGGTCCTGGGATCAAGCCTCACATCGGGCTCCCTGCTCCGCGGGAAGCCTGCTTCTCCCTCTCCCACTCCCCCTGCTGTGTTCCCTCTCTCGCTGTGTCTCTCTCTGTCAAATAAATAAATAAATAAAATCTTTAAAAAAAAATAAATTTAAAAAAATGAAGTAACAATTCTCTTTAATCCTTTTGTATTAGTTTGGAAGTTACACATTTCTATTTCCCATTTTATTCAAACTGGTTACTCAGGTATAAAATTAGTTAAGAGCTCTGTTCTAGCCCAAACAACTCAAAAAGCTTCTAGCCCAAACAACTCAAAAAGTGGCAGTCATAGTGTTGATCTTTACCTTCTGTAATATCTTTGACTAATACTTTAGTCCCAGATGGTTTTAAAACCCCAACATTGAACTTTTTTTTAACAGATTGATCAAGCTATTTATACTTTTTTTTTTTTGCTCACCATCTTTTCTTGAATCTTCTATTTTTATCCTTTTCACGAACTCTATTATCTGTATTTAAAACGTACTTTTTTTTTTTTTTTAAGATTTTATTTATTCATTTGAGACACAGAGATAGAGAGAGAGACCATGAGCAGGGAGAGAGGCAGAGGGAGAGGGAGAAGCAGGCTCCTTGCTGAGCCAGGAGCCCAATGTGGGCCTCGATCCCAGGACCCTGGGATCATGACCCGAGCCGAAGGCAGACACTTAACCATCTGAGCTACCCAGGCGCCCCTAAAATTTACTTATTTTATAATTAATCCAGATTATTTCAGTTCTTCAGGTGCTGATTTCTTCTGCTAGTTTTGCTAGGTCTTCCTGCTTACTTTCTTCATGTGGTTTGTAATTTTTGAATTGACAATTTAAATTTTTTATTTTTATTTGTTTATTTTTTTAAAGATTTTATTTAGTTGTCAGAGATTGAGAGAGAGAGAGAGCACAAGCAGGGGGAGCGGCAGGCAGAGGGAGAAGCAGGCTACTTGCTGAGCAGGGAGCCTGATGCGGGACTTGATCCCAGGACCCTGGGATCATGACCTGAGCCGAAGGCAGACGCTTAACCGACTGAGCCACGCAAGCGTCCCTGATAATTTATATTTTTTAAATGTGAGTTAACATCATGGAGGCTGTTCTTTGCTATATAGAAATCCTATGTGTCCTGGTTTTTCAGAGTGTCCATGGAGAGCACTCTGTATAAATGCTGAGGGCACTAAAGGTTTCAGTGATTTTCAGTTTGGAGCTCCCATGCCTAGTGTGGTGTAGCCCTGGGGTTTTACTTTCCTACAAATGATCTTCTAACACCCACCCATCTCTGGACAAACTTCCCTGTTATCACCTCAGATGTGTAAAAAGAATTTTTCCAGGTCCCTTTTCATAAAAAGGGCACTTCTTTGAATTTCTGCATTTGATGCAGGGACTTCAAATTCCATTCCAGCCTCACCCGGCCCACAGCAAGCTCAGGGTCCTACCTTCTCTTCTCAGGAGGGTGTTGAAGCTCAGCTACCTTAGGAGTGGGTTGATCCCAGACTTTCATGGACCACCATGGAAGTCAGCTCCCATTTGCCAGTCTGTTTTTGATTTCCTTTTATATTTGACCAGGCTAAAGAAATGTATCTATATTTTAAATATTATCCAACATTTCTACGTGTGTGGGTGTGAGGGGTCTGTGTTCGGTTGTTCTCCAGTGGTTAAAGAAGTCATCTGTCACGATGACAGGCGCTCATTTTACACTTTTGATGTCTGTTTTGATATCATTTTAAACATTTTCAGTTTTGTCAGAAATTTGGACTAAATCTGAAAATGCCAACATATATTTTGACGGGAATTGAGAAGTTAAAATTGTATAATAATAAGAGCTCATAGCTCATTGAAAGGAAGCTTATATGTTGTATAAAATTGTCAGTTTGTCTTAAGATCTAACAGTCTTTTCAGAGTAGCAACAACAAATGTATTGCTTTGTTCTCTAGTTTATATTTGGATACATAGACTACCTCAAAAAAAGAATTTAACATTTATTTTTGTAGAAAATAGCAGTTGTAAATGGTCTAGGGAAACAGGTAAATTTACATTTAATGCTGACTGTGGCTGTAAAGAGCAGTGATATGAATATAAGCTGTGGTATTTATTGATTTATTGCTTTTTAGAAATCAGTCTTTTCTTTCATAATTAGGTAGAAACAGAAAAGAAAGATGTTCTTGATTTTGGCGACTTGACTTATGGTGGCTGGAAAGCTCTGCCATTAAAATTGATAAACAGGACTCATGCCGCTGTGCCAATCAGACTTGTTATTAGTGCTGTAAGTACTAACATACAGTAAGAAACTTCACAGAGCACATTGATTTGGAATTGTAGACACTCCTAATATCATTCTTGATTAATTTTTCTTATGGAAGTACATTTTTTTGTTAAGGATTCTGTCAACAAATTTAACATCACACCAACATTGTACTGTTGGCTTTATTGAAACCGATTCTTCTATTTCTGAACAGAATGCCATAGCCTGGCGCTGCTTCACGTTTTCCAAGGCACCCGTCCATGCTTCTTTGAAAGCAGCTCCATATGCTGACGTGATTGCTCAGCTGGCAGCTCCTTCTGTGGTCAACCACATGATGCCTGCTAGCTACGATGGGCAGGTAAGCTGGGGGATTGAAGGACTGCTTAGAATTGAAGAGGAAGGTAGGTTTCCAAACGACTTATCTTTCTTTTTTTTTTTTTTTTAAAGATTTTATTTATTTATTTGAGAAAGAGCACATGAGAGGGAGGAGGGTCAGAGGGAGAAGCAGACTCCCTGCCGAGCAGGGAGCCCGATGTGGGACTCGATCCTGGGGCTCCAGGATCATGACCTGAGCCGAAGGCAGTCGCTTAACCAACTGAGCCACCCAGGCGCCCATGACTTACCTTTCATTAAGACTTAAATCTTAATGCTAGTGTAAATTTATTTTATTTTATTTTACAGGATCCAGAATTTCTGATAATTTGGGTTCTTTTCCATGGTCCAAAGAAACAGATCACTTCTTCAGGTATCATACATATGTTTTTTGGGAATTGCTTTACTCTGTAGCTAAATAAACCACAAAGTTGAGGCCTGTTTCCTCCATCAGTAAATGTGAATACTTTGAGTAATTTGTCAAATATTTTGTGTTGTTTTTAAAATGGGGCAGAGAGCATGCATGCTGTTTTGGGTCAAACCCATGTTTGGGTAACCCCAGCGAGTACCACTGAAAACCTTTTGGGATCTTTTCTGTTCACTGATTTTATCATATCTACCAGTTGGATGCTTTCTTTCTTTTTCTCCTTTCCCCTCCACTCATTTTATTCCTCTTTGAATTCTTTAAATTCCTTAGAATTTCTTGTGACCCCTGAGGGTATAGTGTTGGGCCACTTGAGGCATTTAGAATTAAATAACTCTCTGGTCTCTGAACTAAAAGAATCAACTTTTGTAGAGATTTTAGATTCAGCAGAAGAGTTCTTGGCAAGAGTCGATATAGAAGTTGATAGCCCAAACCCTACCCCAGTCATTAAAAGTATTGGTCTTCAAGCAAGAACAGGAATAGCTAGGATACATGCTCCAAAAGACTTACAGGTACCCTAAACTCTTCTCTTTGCCACGATTTTATGTTCAGGTTGATTTCATTCTAATTGTGACAGTATTTAAAATGTTGGTTTTACCCCATCCTCTAGACTATGCACTTGTTTGCCAGTATGGCTTCCTCAACAAAGCAGCACTTACCTTTGAAAAATGCGGGGAATATTGACGTTTACTTAGATATCAAGGTAAGAATTTGTGTCAGAATGCTATGACATAGTATTTCCTCAGACTGTGAGACTCTGAGTATCTCCTCACATTCTGAAGGTTGCTCAGCTGCCTCCCTTGGCAGAGTGCCATGGGGATCAAACAGAAGAACCTGTGTGAGTGCTTTAAAAGCTGCGGGTTACACTAGTGTGAAATAGATGGTAGGGTACTTTAACTTTGACCTCTGATGTTTTATGTGTAAGAACCAAGTTCTAGATTAGCCCCTGAAAAATGTGTGTGTTATCCTGTGGATAGGTGGAATTGGAGGAGAGTGATCACATATGTAGACGTTATTTCTGAGATGTGTGGGTGAGCAGGAGGGTATTAGCAACGGGGATGTCATGGGATGTCATGGGATGGGAGATGAAGTTTGTTATGGAAGAGGAAGTACCCTTTCCAAGAGAAAAAGACAAGGTGGGGCAGTGACAGACAAGGCAGAAGGGAAAAATAACCTATCAGAGTAAATGAAAAATGAGAGTAACTGAGTAAGAGCTGTATTTGCCTAAGTTGGCATTTAGTTATAATTGTATAAATATTTAGATCCCAGATCAAGGAAGTCACTTTTCAGTGGATCCAGAGAATCTATTCCTTAAACCTGGAGAGGAACGCGAAGTTATAGTCACATTTACTCCAAAGGACTCCCAAGCCTGTGAGGAAAGGTAATATAAAATTATTTATAATAACAAGTTATACTCTTCCCTCAAAATAGCCAGTGTGCTTCAGTCCACAGCTTGAATGATAGAGTACATGTTTTATCTTACCTAATAGATAATATAGCTCTGTTTAACCTCTTTTTGCCTCAGATTTTCTTCTTTTTGTTTACTAAAACTCTCCTTTAAACCCAGCTGACTAGAAATTAAGAAATTACTATTTTCAGGTATATTCTGACAAAAGCAATAATAAAATGTCAATCTTGATGTTTCTCATTAACCTTTCCACACTCTCCAAGGAAGCCATTGCCAGTTGTTAAAGTTTAAGATGCTTCCCCACACACCCCCCACCCCCACCCCTTCTCCAGGCTTGTAACATTTTGGTGCCCAAATCATAAGTGGTCAGAGCACCGTTGTCATTAGTATTTGAACTTGCTTGGTGAACAGAGCTTAGAAGCATGGTGTCCTGAGACACACATGGCCTGCCCTCCACCTGGGTTATAGAATGCCTTAGTGTGCTCAGTCCGCTCCTGTGACTTTACGGACAAGAGCTGGTCTGCACCGATGCGAATACTTGTGCCTGGAACGCGTGCCCGCAACTTCACTGGGTTAACTCTTCCATCTAGGAAGCTTTTCTCAACTCCTTCCAGACTTCTCATAAATAGTAGTTGGTAAGATTCCTGTGGCCCCGTGAACTTCCCCTCTCCCGTTACGTCGATGGTATTATGACTGTCTCTTTCCTTGTGTGTATTCTTCTTTGTAATATAAGCTCTAAGGGTGGGAATGTCATTGTATCCTCAGTGCCCAATTCAGTCTCTTCGGACAAAGGAAGCCTGTGGGGAATAGATGCCAATAGAACTGAATTCTGGACATTCACCTCAGATGGCTTTCTTTCTTAGGATCTTAAAAATATTTGTGCAGCCATTTGGACCTCAGTATGAAGTGGTGTTAAAAGGTGAAGTAGTTTCTTCAGGAAACAAACCTCTGACACCTGGCTCTCGCTGCTTAGCTGCTCCATCGATGTTGTCCAACAAGCAGTTTCTGGCCTGGGGGGGTGTCCCTCTTGGTAGAACACGGTAAGTATGCATGTAGCAACCTTTGGATGTGAAGATTCTGCTGTCATCACCTAGTGTTAGTCTCTGGTGTGGTAGTTAGGACCATGTTAGTGCTTTCAGAGTTGAAGTAAAGCTGTGTTATGTTCCCATCGTGAACTCGGTTGTTTTAGTTAAAATTTTCACCTCTGCAATCCAAAAAAATAAGTTAAGGTTTTCTTAGGCTCTTTTCTGTGCTGATTACCAAATTTAGGCAATTAAGAGTTTCTCTGTTCCTTCTCTGGAAAGCCCTATGGAAAGGTGGGAAGAAACAATAATCGGACACCTTGCCTTCTGCTTAAGGAGTTTACAGAGTAGTTAGTGAATATCTTGTACTTTAAAGAGTATAAGGAGTCTTTAATAGAGCAGATCTGTTCTGTCATAGTTTAATGTGAATTACATCTCGAACCTTATTTTTATGTGCACTTTGTTTATACATTTTGAATATGAACTCTGAGTTAATAAATTGGCATATAATATATAGTATGGTAATATTTTTTCCCTTCATAAGCTTAGCAACATAGCTAAAATTTTTTTGCCAACCTGAAATATAACAATTAATAATCTAGTAGTTATGAAACCTCAGTGTTTCCTCTATTTTGCATTTTTGTGTTTGTGTTTGACCTAAATGTTTTACCCATACATTTCTATGGCACCTGAACAATAAGAAACTTCTGGCTGAATCTGTACTATAGGTACTTCTTTAAAATTATAGTTTTGTCAGTGCAAAAAGAATCTGATTGAACCTCCTTACTTAATAGAGTTCATACATCTGCTTGACCATCCATGTAATCATATGTACCTTGTCTTGTTCTGAAAGCAGCTTTCAGAAAGACACAGTAAGATAAAAACAGTTGAGGGCTGACTGCTGTGGGAAAATGAGACATGGTCACCATAAAGGTAGTGCCCAAAGGCTCACCTGTAGACCCTGTACCCTTGCCTTGATGTAGGTCTTGTGCTTGGTTCTGACTCTTCCCCCATCATCCTGAAACAAGTCAGAGTGTTCAAAGGTTAAGAACAAACCAGTTACTGCGTGAGTGAGTATAGCTGTTCCTGCTACAGACTTCAGAAAGATGTTTCTTCCAGGGTCCTTTTAAAGAGAAATCCATACAATATAGTGAGTCTCAGAGTAAGACAACTTCACAGTAAATACTCCTATCAGGATGCTCCCCCTTTGAGGTGCTCAGTCCAGTCTGGACGCGTCACATGTGAACACTCAGCTAATAGCGTTTTCTGGGTACTGAAGCATGTGGTGGCTTGATTGAGACAGCTTAGGCCCCTAGAAGAATGGTGGGCTGTGTGTCCTTTAAGGAGCTCTCAGTAAAGATTCGCTCAGCTAGACCTTTGAAAAATCCTGAATGGCAGGGGGTTTGAGGTATTGTGCCCTCTTTAGTAGCTCCTGTGTTGTTAGTTAAGCTTTTTGCAGCCAGTTAGGATGGAATACACATTGAAAGGAAGGGCTGAACAAAGGCATATTCCTGTGTAGGTTTTTCCAGCTCTATACAGTTGAACCTGAACAGTGTCTGTATGCCATATTTTTCCTGAAAACATTGATTTGTGGTCTGCTCCAATACATGTACAAATAGTGATTGAGACCTTGAAGTTCTGTGCTCTGGAAGGTGGCTGAAATAACTTAGCTGTTCAGATCAGCCATTGATGTCTAAGTGAAAGGAAGAGGAAAATCACTTTCCAGTATACCCTGGCAACAAGTATCTTGTGCTACTCCTTTGTAAGGATGTTGCAGCAGAGTTTATGATAAAGTGGTGTGCTCTCTGCTTATAAAGAGATCTTCCTATTTTCTGTCCATTAAAAATGTCCTATGAAACAGTCAGAGGCTGTGACCCAGTGCATGCTGGGAGAGGACTCAGAAACAGGGTGGGGGATGCTGGTGCCTACTAGGTGCCCTTCCAGTGTGGTACTTGCCTATTCTCTGCCTGTCTTTATGGAAGAAGGTGCTTCTCAAAAACGGAGATTTGAAGTAAGCTCTTCTAGAGTAAAGAAAAAATTAATATATAATGTGGGGGGGGGCAGTGGACACGTCACATGTGTAATGGGTTTTGAGTAATGGGTTTTGCCTCAGTTATAGATAGAAATGATAATTAATAAATTAAAATTATATTTTCTCAGGGTAAAGTGGTCCAAATAAAGTGGTACTTCATTCTGATGTTTTTGGATTTTTGAAGTTCTGCATTTTTCCATATATTCATTCACTCATTCTAGTTTCTCATAAGTCTGCATATGTAGTTTGGCTCTTTGTTGCTTAGGTTTTAGTATTTTTTTCTTATTAATTTGTGTGGACCCTATATAATAATGAAGTTAACCCTTTTTATTTTGTATAGTTCCTTTTTAAAACGAGAAACTGAACCCCCCCCACCCAAATTGGTAGCTCTACTACTTGAAAATGATAACCACATTTCTTTAAAAACAGATAAAATATAAAAGCTTTTAAAGAATTCTTTTTTCGGTAAATCTTTCCCAGTCAGTGTTCCTATGAATGCTTTTCCCGGGTCTGCTGATAGCGGAGGTCTTAGATTTTATTCTGAGGTTAAGCTCAGCAATCTTTCCCCTTTATCCCAAGTTGGACAAGACATAGGCCACAGTTTAAATAATGTAACTGTCAATATTCAGAATTTGAATACAATGGAGGTTTACTCATGATTTCCTATTCTCCCAATGAAGATAGGATTCATATATTTTCAAAGATTGAAGGATTGTTTTTTACCACCAGCCAGCTGTTATTCATAAGTCTATTGTACTTGCATATTATAACTTTTTTAAAAGTATGGTTAATTCAGTGTACCGTTTAAAAGACCAATTTGTGCAAATGAGGCCCTTAGAGTGAAAAATCTAAGCAATGTGCCTGGGACTCCTTGTTGCCATTCAAGCTAAGCATGGTATTGACTTAGAGACTTAATGAATTTGTTAATGTGGATTTTCATTTGATTGTTTTACAAGACAGATAAGACTTATATGTATAGTATAAATAAGGTCGGCTAAGGAGCTATAATAGGAGAATGATTAAACCAAAGAGTTTCTCTGACAAGGTGAATATGTTTTGAGTATGTTTTCAGAAATGTGGAATCCTAGGACTGTGGAGATACCTTTCCAGGCTGCTAATAAAATGGCATATGTAATCCAGTCCATCTCTAAACATTGCAGTCAGTTTTAATTGGCTTTGGTTTTATAGTTGTAGCAATATCCACAGAGGAAAACTACATTTACAATGTGTAATTGTTCCTAGGCTTCAGAAGCTAGCTTTACGAAATAATTGTACATCTACAACCCAGCATCTGCGACTGCTCATTAGAGGACAAGACCAGGACTGCTTTCAGGTTTGTAGAGTGCATGGTGCTGTTTCATGCTCTTTTAGACCACTTACATATGCAGACCGTTGTGTCTTCGTCTTTGAAGCTTTGGGTTGATGGTAGTTTTATTTGGGCTCCTCCTTTGTTGTATGCAGTGATTGTTTTTAAATTGTAGCTTCAGCATACTTTTGGTTCAGAAGAACGACTAACCAGTAACTGTGAGATTAGAATGCGTCCAGAAGAAGACATTCACATCTCTGTGTTATTTGCACCTACTCGATTATCTTGTATGTTGGCTAAACTTGAAATTAAACAACTGGGAATTCACTCACAACCGGGCATTAAGTTCACGGTAAGATGATTTTATTGCCTTTTTTTTCTCCCATGCAGTTTCTTACATCTTGTAACTATTAATTTAATATTGGTAAATTATGTATACTCTACTTTTTGTAAGTCAGAATAGGTGATTGCCTTTTACAAACAAGTTAGGGAGTAATTAATGTACTTTGTACAAGAGTTGTGTTATAAAAGTAGTCTCCATAGTATTACTGTAGGAAACCGTTTCTTCTCATGCCTTTAAGGTTCATTTCAGCTTGAGAATTTTGAAATATACCCATCTTTACAGTAACACATTTTTTGGTAAAACCAGATCAAACTGTTTAAGATACTTTCCAAGTAAATTTTATTCTTTCAATTCAGCAAAATACCTGTTGACACCATTTACTAGACTCTGTTCCAGAACTAGGGATACAAAGACGAGAGCTTTTTATATTTTGTTTCTTCCCATCATAATTTTCAAAAGGATTTGAACTCATTTCTTTAGATACATTTAGAGTAGTGAGAGATAAAAGTGGTAAATCATTGAGAAAAGGAAAAAAGGACAGGGTGGTCAAACACACACTCCATAAAAGTGCATACCTTAAAACTACACGGTTTTTGGCTGTGGGGCTGGAACTAAAATGTTGGTCCATTTTCTAGTGTTAGAGAAGGAATGTAATGAATCACAAGATTAGCAGTGCTTAAAAGGTTGAGGTTTTGTTTGTTTGTTTGTTTGAGAGAGAGAGAAAAGGGAGGGGGAATGGGAGGAGGGCAGAGGGAGAGGGAGAAAGAATCCCAACGTGGGGCTTGATCTCATGACCTTGAGATCATGACCTGAGCTGAAATCAAGAGTTGGACGCTTAACTGACTGAGCTACCCAAGCACCCCTGAAACATTTTTTGTTATTTTTTTTTAAACAGTAGATCTTTATGGCAAATCTAACTTTTTTTGATGCTGAAGCTTGACATATTCTCTGTGGAGCTCTTCACTTGGCCCCATGAGCTGTGGTGGGCAAAATTGTTTAAAGATGTAAGTGGTCAGGTGCCTGGCCAGCTCAGTCAGTAGAGCATGTGACTCTTGATCTTGGGATTCTGAGTTTTAGACCCACGTTGGGGGTAGGGTATACTTAATTTAAAAAAAAAAGGATCTAAGTGGTCGTCTTTAGGAAGAACATCCTTCCACGTGAGCCGAGGACACAATGCCAAAGTACAACATATCCTGATGGTCTGGTTTCAAGTAAGAATCAAGTGGTTTGTGGAGAGGACTGGATGGGCTGTGTCTTTCAGACTATCCTGAATATATTTCCATTAGTTTCAGGTTGACTAGCCAAGATGTTTAAGATTATTCTTTTTTTTTTTTTTTTTTTTTTTTAAGATTTTATTTATTTGACCGAGAGCACAAGTAGGCAGAGTGGCAGACAGAGGGAGAGGGAGAAGCAGGCTCTCCGCTGAGCAGGGAGCCGGATGTGGGGCTCGATCCCAGGACCCCAGGATCATGACCTGAGCCGAAGGCAGCCGCTTAACCGACTGAGCCACCCAGGTGCCCCTAAGATTATTCTTAAGTAAGAATTTCTGGAGAACTAATAATTCCCTGATGGCTTAGGGCAGGACCATTTGTTTTGACAGTCACCAAGCAGAAGTTCAGGCTGATGTCCTCTTAAGACAAACTAGGATCCTAGTGGGAGTCCTGCCTATGTAGCTTCCACCTGTCCTTTCAGAGGTGGCCTGAATGGGGACCTGAAGTGTACAGATGAATATGGCCTTTATCTCACAAGAAGGCTTGGACCACCAGCACTGCTGTATGTTGTAGAGATGAGGAACTGGTACAGTGGTGGAAGAGCACTGGGAGCAGCCCTGCTTCTGTTCTTCACACTCACTCCGGATCAGTCTCCACTTGCTCGTGCTTTACTCACTTATTAAATATTATCTTCCTGGTTTGGTTCTGAGAAACTAGTGAAATTATACTTTGTGTACCATAAAACATTGTGGGACTGCAATAAAGACACATTTATTGCATGCTGAGTATATGCCAGGCACTACTCTTAATCATCACTACATGGATTATCACACACTATCTTCAAAACAACTAAGATCATACCACTGTCTCCATGCTACACATAGGGAAGCAAACCTAGAGAGGGGCTTGCCATGGTGGTGCATCTTACATGGCAGTACGTGGTTCAGGGTTCAAATTCAGACTACCTGACGGCAAAGCCCATTTTTATCTATTATGCAGGCTCTAGGTGTTCATACTACTTCTGTTTTCCAGTCCCTTAGAGCAGGAGTTCTCAACCAGAGGCTGTTTTACCCTCCAGGGGACTTTTGGCAATAAGTGGACACATTTTTGGTTGTAACTGCGGGTGGGGAAAAGGGTGCTCCTGGCATCTAGTGAGTAGAAGCCAGGGATGCACATAAACTCCCTGCAAGGTGCAGGATGGCCCCCACGCCAAGGAATGATGTAGCTCAAGATGTCCATAGTGCGAGGTTAAGAAAACCTGCTCTAGGGCAGTAGTTCTTCCTCTTGAATCTTGGGATCTATTAGCATTGGTCAGAGTTTATTTCATTTAATCATTCTTTTTCTTAACCTTTTACTCAGCAGTTATTTGTGATTCCTTAGGCTTTGAAATACAGGAAGAATACTTACATTGAGTGTTTTCAAAAACAAACTTTTCCCATTTTCTAGTTTCATACATAAAATTTACTTGGAAGTTTCTGTGGGAAGAGAAATTAGAAACAGTTTTGGTTTTCAAAACTACCAAGAGCTCACTCTGAATGAGGAGGGATTTGTAGGAGCTTCAGATCTGAAGCACTTTAAAATGCTGCCAATCTGTACTTATTTTGGCACACCAATACCAATTTATGAGGTCCCTAAATTTAATTTTTCAAAACGTTATTTTAAGTATGTAACACAACTCAAAATAAACTATTGACGTTTTCAAGTTTGCAAGGCATTCTTTGAAACACATTTTATTTTTCAAAAGATTTTATTTATTAGAGAGAGAGAGAGCATGAACGCGGGGGAAGGGGCAGAGGGAGAGGGTGAAGCAGACTCCCCTTTGAGCAGGGAGCTTGATACGGGGCTCGATCCCACAACCCTGAGACCATGGTCTGAGCAGATGGCAGATGTTTAACCAACTGAGCCACCAGGTGCCCCTGGAACACAGTTTAATAATTAGGAATGATAGATCATTTTGAAAGGAGTGCATTTTTTTAAGATTATTTTGTTTAAATATTTTATTTATTTATTTGACAGAGAGTACAAGCAGGGGGAGCAACAGAGGGAGAGGGAGAAGCAGACTCCCTGCTGAGCAGGGAGCCCGACTGGGGGCTCAGTCCCAGGACCCTGAGATCATGACCTGAGCCAAAGGCAGATGTTTAACCAGACTGAGCCACCCAGGCGCCCCTATTTATTTATTTTAGAGAGAGCATGAGTGCGTGAGTTGGGGGAGGGAGTGGGAGAGAGAATCTCAGGCAGACTCCCCGCTGAGCTCGGAGCTTCCTCCCAGGATCCTGAGATCATGACCTGAGCCAAAATCAAGAGTTGGGTGTTTAACCGACTGAGCCACCCAGGTACCCCTTAAAGGAGTGCATTTTAAAGGATATGGAAAGTTTGTTTTCTAGCAGCGTATCTATTTTCCTACATTTTTATTTATAGACTTTATTCTCTGAATCCTTGTTTCCTGGTAGTGCTGAACCCTGTGGAAGCAGCCTGGCTTGGAGACAGCACCCACTGGCCCTTAAAGCCTGCCTCCAGTCTGCACTCTGGCTACCAGGGAGTCTGTCCTCTGAGAGTTGTTTGAGTTCTTGCTTCTGTTTGGTCCCTTTGGCACACTTCTTTCTCATCTGATAGATCAAAAGCTAATAGGATTATAGAACAATAGATTTTATTTCACCAACACATTTCATTTTCAAAATTGAGAATAATTGGGAGTTGGAAGAATTATATGGTGAACCCTCACATACCCTACCACATAGATTCTACAGTTAACATTTTGCTCTGTTTGATCACATATCTCACCATCCATCAATTTGTCTCTTTTTTTATGCATTTCAAAGTAAATTACAAACATCAGTATATTTCACCCTAAACATTAGCTTCTTAAGCAAGTTTGTCTATACTAATCTTTTATTCCTTAATCATCTAAGCTTGGCTTGTATAACAATGAAATAATTTAGCATATTGCAAGGTAAATAATTTTGCAACTCTTTGATTTGTTTTTGTCCTAAGAGAAGTTCTTTAATATGATGCTGGACTGGGGCACCTGGGTGGCTCAGTCGTTAGGCATCTGCCTTCGGCTTGGGTCATGATCTCAGGGTCCTGGGATTGAGCCCCACATAGGGCTCCCTGCTCGGTGGGAAGCCTGCTTCTCCTCTCCGACTCCCCCTGCTTGTGTTCCCTCTCTCGCTGTGTCTCTCTCTGTAAATAAATAAAATCTTAAAAAATATATATATATATGCTGGACTGGAAGTGGGGTAATTAGCCAAAGTACACAAAGAATAATAATTGTATTAAATCTGTATGGGTTTTTTTTTTCTGGCTATAATTTAATCTTCTGCTTTCTGCTTACATAAAAATAATTTTGGATGTATATATTTTCTGCTTTTAGATACCTTTGTCTGGATATGGAGGAACAAGTAATCTTATTTTGGAAGATGTTAAAAAGTTATCTGACAGTTACATGGTAACAGTGAATGACTTAGTACCTGGCAAAGAAAGTAGAATTGTTTTTTCTGTTCATAACACTGGCTCTCGGGCAGCTTTTGTTAAAGCAATAGGTTTTAAGGATTCTCAGAAAAAAGTTTTGCTGGATCCTAAAGTATTAAGGATTCTTCCAGATAAATTTGTGCTCAAAGAAAAAACACGAGAAGTAAGTATAAGTCTCTGCACTAAAAATATGAACTCATTTTTAGGTTAAATTAAGAATTATGTATTTTATAGCTAAAAACTAGTATTTGAAAGTAATAAAGGAATGGAAATACCTGATCTTAGAAACGCTGTCATATGCATCCATGTCTATTGACTGTTTAGGCTCATATGGTAGTTAATTCACAATAAAATGACTTAAGAAAAATATTTAATATTCACTCCTGATTTTTTTCCTTGGCATCAGGATGTTACCATAATATATAATCCATCAGACAGAGAGAGCAATTATATAACCACAACAGAACTGTCAACTGTATACTTCTTTGGTGGTGATGAAATTTCGAGGCAGCAGTATCGAAGGTAGGTTACTTATCTTAGATGATGTTGGAAACTCTTCCGTAGAAATAATGAAGGCTTAAAAATGGTTTGGGATTTGAAAGTTATAAAACATGCTTAGCTACTTATTAGTAAACCGGTGGATGAAAAATCTTGGTAAAATTTGTATAGCTGACAGTCCGCCATGATGTGAGGAAGAAATGCATGTGGGAAACCCATCTGCCATATTTGCATTGTGCCTTCTTTTCTAGACAGATGTATTATGCCTCTTCTCCTTTATGCAAATAGGTACCTCAGACTTCATAATAGGACGATCTTCCTAATGATGGTAGGTCAATTTTAGAAAAGATGTAAGAACTACTGAAAGAATATATTGTGTATAAACACACCTGACTTATTTGTAGTATTTCTGGGAATGTTGTGAATTATTTGAAAGGATTAAGTTGTATTTAGAAATGTGTAGGGTGTTTAACTTGGTTACTTAACGCCATGTGCTTCTAGAAAATTTGGTACTTCTAAATAATAGTTTAATACACAAAAATGTCAAATTTAGACATTTAGATTTAGGTGTGATTTAAGCATAGGTAACTTTCTTGTATGTTGAATTCAGAGTTCTTGTATTATAAAATTTTGTTTCCTAGCCTGCAGGGCCTGAATATAAAATAAGTGAAGCTCAGGACACTTGATCTGTCAGTAGGAAACCATTCGCTCCCACTAGGGGAGGCTTATATGCATTTAGCAGTATTTCCTTCTTCCACCCCTTTGTGCTCTGCTGTGTTTTATTCTGATACATAATTTAGGAGATTGTTTTATTTTTAATCTGTTGAGGATTGTTGGAACATTTAAAAAGAGACTTGAATGACAGGTTGCTACATGATGTTAGAATAGACCCAATGTAAAGAGCTCAACTTTGAACCTGCTTTTGTTTCTCAGTTAAGTATTTTAAGACACAGAAACTGGCATTTGGAGAAATTAAATTACCAGGTTTGGGTTTATTTTTCCCCCTTTCTCTCTACTGGGATATAGAAATCAGCATATTGTTTTAGAACTCCTCTTTGCCATATATATATAGTAATGAGATTTCTTTTGTTTGTGAACATCTGAGTATTACAGAGAAATTTACATTTCCGTTCTCTCACCTCAGAGATTCTTTAGAAGAGGCCAGGTAAATACAGTTATATGGCAATTTAAATTTCTCTCTCTGACAGCTCTTACTTTTATTATGTTCTTGGCATATTCTCTTTTTTTCTGAGACAGATTTCTAACTATGATCAAATTTTCACAAATACTGAAAATGTAAGACCTGAAAAGAATCTAATTTTACTCTTCTTTCTACTCTTATTTTAGGGAGCTCTTGTTTTGATGTTAATATTTAAATGAAAGTGATGACTGTACTACCATGTATAACTTTGAAGGGAACTTCCAAAACAATTTTCTTTTAAAAATTGCTTATACTAAGATTTAAGACAGGATTTCAGACAGCTGTTTGTGAGATTTGCCAAATACACTAATGAGAATCTAATTTATGTAAAATCACTTTTGAATAAAAATCTCTGTTGGCAGAGCCCTGTCGCATAAACCAGGGGTTATAGAACAAGTACTTCCAGAACATAGTGTGCTGCAGCACATTGATTTTGCGGAAGAATTTCAGCATGAGTTTCTAGTAACTGAAGGTAAGACTTTCAACATGTCTAACTACTACAAATGACCCAAAAGATTTATATCTAGGCCCAGTGATGTGTTATAGGGAGGAAGAGTATTAGATTATGGCGTCCGGCTGAGTTTGAGCCACAGTTCCGCTATATGACTTTGGACGTCACTGAGATTAAGTTTTCTTTTTTGTAAATGAGAGCTACAGTATCAGCTTCTCATCCATAAGGAGTTGTTGTGACGATTAAACGAGAGAGCTTTGCTATATAAATGTTAGATATTATTAATGTATTGTGGCACCTGTTCTATGGATAGACTTATAAACAGGAGGAGAATGATCATTATTAGGCTCAGAGTAATTACTATGTAAGATTTAATGATTGCAAACTTGAACTCATTTTGAGATTTCTGTGTCTGCTGTGCAGTTTATGGAGGATGTGATGGTGGGGAAAAAAAATCCAAAATAGACAGCAGTGGAATAATTCCAGCCTAGATTTTTAGCTCTATTTGAGCTGAATTGTTCAAGCATCTAATGGTGTTTATTACTGATAAAAAAAAATATGTATCAAGACATACAAATTGTGTAAAAATGGACAGATTTTTACCACAGTGTTGTTCATAACAGCAGGAAGTTAGAAGTAACCTAAATATCCAAGAATAGGGCATTGTTTAATTATGTAATCGAATATGTTGAAGCTATTAAAACAATGATACGATTCTATGTTAAATGACATGAGAAAGCTCTTCATTAAGAAAAATTATTTTAAAGTTTACATATTAACATCTCATGGTAAAAATGATTTAATGTGTCTGAGGTAAAAGCTACAGAGGTAAAATTGCAGGAGTAAACACACCAGCTATTGACAATGGTTATGTTCTGGTAGTAGACTTTCAGGTGGTTGTGGTTTTTGTTATCTAGTTTTTTAATGGTAAAATATATATTGCTTCTGAAATATGAAATGATAAAAGGATATTTATAGTTATGTAGAGGTGATGTAGAATAGTCTGTGATCTTTTTGGTTATTAGGAGTCTAGATCACCTACTCAAAGGGAAGGTAGGGGTGGATTAGTTAAAAATAGTGAAAAGATTTGAAATGGATCTTGTCAGCAGTGTGATTTGGAAATGAAACAATTTAAGGCCATGTCTGCCACTTCATCTCCTCTGAGCTTTACCTTCCTTCTCCATCGTAAGAAAGATCCCAATAAATAAAAGAGTTAAACGGAATTAGGCTTTATAGATGGAAACACTTAGTAACATACCACAACAATCCTGAAGACTGTGATTAAAAGTAGGTAGCATGAGTTTGTAGTGGTTCAGAAGTTGGCACAGTTGCGTGATTTGGCAACATTTCATTTATTGATTGAATGGACATGTATTGAGAGTAGAGGGTGCCAGTCTGTAGAGGTGAAAGATGAAGTCCTTGCCCTTTAGGTTCTCACAGACTAAGGGGAAGACGGGTGATTAAAGTGTGGTATGAAAAGGGCTATGATGGAACTGTGTTTAGGAATCTGGAGAATATAGGGATGCGTGGGTGGCTTAGTCAATTGAGTGTCTGCCTTTGGCTCAAGTCATGATCTCAGGTTTCTGGGATTGAGTCCTGCATCGGGCTCCTACTCAGCGAAGAGTCTGCTTCTCCCTCTCCCTCTGTGCTGTCTCTCCCTCTCTTGCTCTCTCTCAAATAAATAAATAAAATCCTAAAAAAAAGAAAAAAGGAATCTGGCGAATATAAAGGGTACCCCATTTAAAATGAGGTGACTCTTGAGGTATCTTGAAGAATGAGGAGAAGTTGACAAGATGGAGAAGATGGGGACCAGAATGGGGAAGGATATTCCAAGGAGAGGGAGCTGCATGTACAGAAATTCAAGACATGTGTTATGTTAAGGGTCATGTTGACAAACCCAACCAAAAACTCAAGTAACCTGTCAAGACCACCCATCTAAGATGGGGTTGAGTTGGGACTTCAGGTAGGTCATTGGGACACCACAATACTAGATTCTTTGAGATGGTATAGTTATTGTCCAGAGGAAGGGAGAAACCAATCCCACTTTGTTTTGTGTTGGTTAGTATAGTAGATCACCTATGGGAATGTTACAGTTGAACTTTTTACGTGGTTATTTTGAATAACATTTGTTTTGAACACACTACTATTACAGGTATTTATAATCTTGCTTTTGCAAAATGTGTGACTTGTGGCAAATATTTTCACACTTGATTTAAACTTTTATAGTCCAATATCTTGGTTATTATAAATTTCAATTTACACTTACTGTGTTCTTTTTAAAAATTTTTCATTTAAAAAGTATAATTCTTAATGTCCAATTTATTATTTTTTTTTAAAGTAGGCTCCACGCCCAGCATGGAACCCAGCGTGGGGCTTGAACTCATGACTCTGAGATCAAGATCTGAGCTGAGATCAAGAGTCAGACAGATGCTTAACTGAGCCACCCAGGCACCCCTCTTAATGTCTTATTTAAATGTGGAATACAAGCATGTCCTATAAAATTTCTTGTATATATAAATTCAGGTGGACTAATCTAGAGATGTTCAACTCTAGCACTGTTTCATTAATCACAATGTTTAGTTATATTATTGCCTGGTTTCTAGATTTGCTAAGGTTAAATGTCTGTGAGACCACCACTTATAAATTGTGTATCCTTAACCTCTTTGTGCTTCAGATTCCTCATCCTTGAAGTGGAGATAATAGATACCTACCTCAAAGAGTTGTGAAAGCTTACTAGATTAATATGCACAAAGGGATTAGAACAGTACCTGGCCCCCAGTCAGCTTGTTGCATATGGAGCTTTAAACATATTCATACTCTAATGCTCATAACAACCCCTGAGATAGTTACTTTATATTATCCTTGAGGAGACTAGGGTTTAGAGAGGTTAATTTGCCAAATTCAAGGCCAGAGCCTGAGCTGCCTATAATGTCATGCTAGTCAGTAGTAGTAAACATCAATTGTCACTCACCCCCAACCTAAGAAAATAGTATTCTGTGGCTATAAATGTATAAGTTTATCTGTTAATTTGTAGTGTGATTATGTGAAGATTCATATATTTCAAACATTATTTTCTGTTTCAGTGTATGATCTTCCCCAACGGCCTAATGATATTCAGCTCTTTTATGGAAACATGCATAAAATTATACTTTCAGTAATTGGAGAATTCAGAGATTCTGTGTCTAGCAGTGAATTCCTTCAGCGTTCTTCCAAAGCTGTCTTAGAATCTAAAAGGTAAAACAGACAAACAAAACATCTTTCACCAGATTTCAAGATAATTTAATTCATAGTAGAGCTGATCTTTGCTCTGTACTTTTTTGCCTCCCAAAATGTTTATTTCATCTTTATATTTTAGTTTAAGTTGAAATAATTTCAAATTTACAGAAAAGTTTAAAAATAGAACTTACGCTACCTGCATTGAGATTCCTCAGTTGCTAACATTTTACCACATTGACCTTATTATTCTTTATGTATATATACCTTTTTCTGAATCATTTAAGAGTAAGTTGTGGGCATGATGACCAGTTTGTCCTAAGTTTCCTAAAAACACAGACCTTCTCCTAAATAGCTATAGTCAACCCATCAAAATTAGGACCTTAGTATTGTAAAAATGCTAACATCTAGTCCACAGATTACATGCAAATTCCCCAGTTCCCTAATAAAGCCCTATATTTATAGTTAAATCAAAGAAATAAGCAAAAAACTTCCTCTTTGGTCCCAAATCTAATCTGAGATCACACATTACATTTAGTTAGCCTGTCTTTACCCTTTTTCAATATAGAACACTTCCTCAGTCTGTCTTTCTCTTTCATGACAGAACACAGAGGGTTCGGTCATCAAATCAGAGCCACAGAATCAAAGATATTACCCAGAACTAAGCTTTAGTAATAATTTTAGGTGAAAACATGAGGAAATCAGGATTGCTAATGATGCTTCCTAGGCCCTTTTTGCAACATTAATACTCTACTCTGGTTCAGATTTTTTTGTTTGTTGTTTTTTAAAAATTCTTTTTTTGTTGTTATCTTAATCACCATACATTACGTCATTAGTTTTTGATGTAGTGTTCCATAATTCATTGTTTGCGTATAACACCCAGTGCTCCATTCAGTACCTGCCCTCTTTAATACCCATCACCAGGCTAACCCATCCCCCCATCCCCCTCCCCTCTAAAACCCTCAGTTTGTTTCTCAAGAGTCCATAGTCTCTCATGGTTCGTCTCCTCCTCCGATTTCCCCCCCTTCATTTTTCCCTTCCTGCTATCTTCTTCTTTTTTTTTTTTTTTTAAAAAAAAAACACGAGGTCTCTAAGTCGTGCATGTGATGATACGTTGCTTACACAAAAGGGGGAGCTTTTTCAATTACAAAAGCTATTTTATACTCGGGTAATTACTTTATGTGATATTGTTTTCAACAACTATGCCACATAAATTCATAAATTTCAGATTTCTTTACCATAACCAATTCTAGACAGACCAGGAACATCCTGTTATAAGCATTCCATAGAAAAGTAAATTAGTGTGTTTGCTGGGAGTTGTCATTTGGAAGATCACAAGGGGATTTGACCGAGTTATCTTTTTTTTCCTGGACATTCCCTAGTAAAAAGGGGGATAAGGGCTGCAGGTCAGCTGATAACCGTTTTCTTACCAGTGACCTTGATGTTTTTGTAGAGTATAGACGAGTTACTTTGTAAAATGTCCCTCACACCATGGAAATGATGCTGTTTGTTTTCTCAGTGCATCTTCTCAGGTGGTAAACAATGCTGATTTGTCCCATTGCTAGAAATGGTTTTATCTCTTAGTTAAAATGGTGTCTGTAGGGTTTCTCCACTGTAGTTAATTAATGTTTTAAAGGGAGATCCTTAGAGATAATGAGTTATCTTGTTCCTTATCACACTTGTAGCACCCAGTGATGGTTATTGCCTGAATCCTATTAATACTGTCTTATTTACCAAATGGTGATTTTCTAATTCTGTCTTTCTACATTTACTAGTTGTCTTTCCACGATGAGGAAGAGATTTACTTTACCCTTTTTTGTGTACTTATATCAGGGTGGACTGCTGGATTCGGTGTTAATCCTTCAGTGTCATCATTTGGTCGCTTAACCTGGTTCATTATTCGCTGGCACAATGGTTATTCTAAGTTTGACATATACCTTCCTTGTCCCAGCCCTGGAATAGAAGTCCTAATTCCTTTTAGTAGAGAATAGTTTCAGAAACCGGAATATGAATAGTAAGTGTGCTATTGCTTTTCAGGTGTTACTACTTCTAGGACCCCTCAGTGGACAGACAGAGCTAGGAAATATATGCATTTATATATAAATCCACATGTATCCAAATCTGTTTATAAATATGTTGAAATCATGAGTTTACACTGATATCTCCAATACTGAGAATGCTGGCCTCATTATCCTCAGTATAATTGCATTTACTCAGTTCTCCTGTTTTTAACCAGTCTTCTCCTCGCATGGGCTGTCTCCGTGGCACAGCATTGCCAGAGTTATCTGGAAGTCACAGCCACCAGCTGAGAGCTAACACACCTACCTAGTGCCTCCAACTCATTCCAGCTTGCCCTCTTCCTCATATTTAAAAAAAAAAAACTCATTAGAGTATAACTCATATGCAATATCCTTTCAGTTTCAGATGTACATCATAGTGATTCAGTATTTTTATGCATTATGAAGTGGTCCCCACAATAAGTCTAGTTACCATCCGTCACCATACAAAACTATTACAGTATTATTGACTATATTCCCTATGCTGTATATTACATCCCCATAATTTAGTTTATAACTAGAAGTTCATACTTCTTAATCCCCTTCACCTATTTCACCCACACCCAGCCCCTCTCCCCACCCCCTGTAACCAACAGTTTGTTTCCTGTGTCTAAGAGTCTGTTTCTGTTTTGTTTTGTCTATTCATTCATCTTGTTTTTTAGATTCCACATGTAAGTGAAATTATTTAGTATTTGTCTTTCTCTGTCTGACTTATTTCACTTAGCATAATACCCTCTAGGTGCATGTTGTCACAAATGGTTAGATTTCATTCTCTTTTATGACTAATATTCCACTGTGTATGTAAACCACATCTTTATCCATTCATCTATCATGGACATAGGTTGCATCGATATCTTGGCTATTTTAAATAATGCTGCAGTGAGGGCGCCTGGGTGGCTCAGTCGTTAAGCGTCTGCCTTCGGCTCAGGTCATGATCCCAAGGTCCTGAGATCGAGTCCCACATCGGGCTCCCTGCTCAGCAGGAAGCCTGCTTCTCCCTCTCCCACTCCCCCTGCTTGTGTTCCTGTTCTCGCTATCTCTCTCTGTCATATAAATAAATAAAATCTTAAATAATGCTGCAGTGAACATAGGGATGCATATATCTCTTCAGATTTGTATTTTCATTTTCTTTGGATAAATACTTAGAGTAGAATTGCTGGATCACATGGTAGCTTTATTTTCAATTTTTTGAGGAACCTCCATACTATATTCCATAGGGGCTGTACCAGTTTACATTCCCACCAGCAGTGCACAAGGGTTCCCTTTGCTCTCCATCTGTGCTAGCACTTATTTGTTGTCTTTGTTAATAACCAATTTAAGAGGCTTACGGTGATTTCTTCTCATTTTGATTTATACTTCCCTGATGATTAGTAATGTTGAGCATCTTTTCATGTGTCTCTTGGTCATCTCTATGCCTTCTTTGGGAAAATGTTCAAGTCCTCTGCCCATTTTTTTAATCAGGCTATTTATTTTTTTGATACTGAGTTGTATAAGTTCTTTCTATCATCTGAATATTAACCTCTTAGCAGATAAATGATTTGCAAATATCCTCTCCCTTTCAGTAGGTTGCCTTTTCGTTTTGTTTTGATGATTTCCTTCGCTGTACTAAAGGTAGTATCTATCCTTCTCAAATGATTCCAAAAAATAAAAGAGGAAAGAAGGCTTCTAAACTCATTTTACGATGTCAGCAAAAACACTGTAAAAAAAGAAAATTACATGTCAGTATCCTTGATGAACACAGATGCAGAAATCCTCCACAAAATATTAGCAGACTGATTTCAACAATATATTAAAAGGATTTCTATACTTTTAATGATAATTTTTTTCTAAGATATTCAATCAAAGAATTAAAGATAGCAGTTACATATGTTAAAAATTATCTTAAAAACCACTTAAATTGTGAGGAACTGGTTCTTAGGAAATAAACATCCAAGAACCAGCTTTATAATTTTTAAAAAATTGTTTCTGACTTTTGGCTGGTACCTCCATTGTATCTCTGTCTCTGGGGCAGTAGAGGTCTGGTTGGAAAAGGAGCAGGTGAGAGGGTAATGGGTAAGAGGGTGAGGAGAGGACTCTCTCTGTCTGCTGAGTGTCTCCTTGAAATAAAGATGGAGCTCTGCTGTATGGTAGGAGAATTTGGGCACTACCCAGGTGAACTTCAATTAAGTCGTGTGCCTCTGTGATTACAAAATTCATTTGAGTTACAATTTTTTGTACTCTAAGGCTAAATAAACACTTTTAACACTTAATCAAAAATCTTCTTGGGCGCCTGGGTGGCTCAGATGGTTAAGCGTCTGCCTTCGGCTCAGGTCATGATCCCGGAGTCCTGGGATTGAGTCCCGCATTGGGCTCCCCGCTCTGCGGGAAGTCTGCTTCTCCCTCTGCCTCTCTCTCTCTCTCTCTCATGAATAAGTAAATAAAATCTTTAAAAAAAAAAAAAAAATCTTCTTAAACCTTACTAGCATTTCTTACCATGGTATTTTGCCCAGAAGACTTTCTTTGGTGTTAGCATCATGAAACCAGTTATCATTGTACAGTTACAGATATATTAAGAGTTTTGTTTTTTAAAAATTCTTAATATTGGGTGGTTTTCTAGTAAGTCTTTTAAGAGACTTCAGATGGCATGCTAAAGTCAAGACAGGAAAGAAATTGAATCACTGAGTGTTCTAATGAAAGGTTAGTATAACAATATTTGACCTATACTATATTTTTATACATTAAGAATACACAGTGAAGAATTTTTATTCCATGAAACATACAGAGTATATTCCATAGTGCACTTTTAGTTTTATCTAAATGTTTTTAGATTTATGAACAATTAATATAAAAATGTGACAGTCTGGCTTTTTATCTTTTTTAAAAAGCAGAAATATAATATTTTAATACACAGCTTCTGTACAACCAAAAAGTAAAACATCGCAGTAAAATGTTTGTGAGAAAAGATGGTATTTCATTTGCAGTGCATGGCAAATGGTTAACATCCTTAGTCATAAGCTTTTTATCATTTTTAATTTCTTTCCTCTCCCCCTCTCTCTTTCTGTCTCTATAGTGAATCTGATGGTTCTGGGAAACATGGTGGCAATGTTTCTTTGGATATTTTACCAGTTAAAGGTCCTCAAGGTTCTCCACTTCTTTCACAAGCTGTTTGCCCACCTCAAGATAAATCATCCTCTAAGGAAATGTGGACTGTCCAGCCTGAACACTTGATTTTGATAGCCCCTTCTTGTGAGTATATCAGTAACAACACAACAGCAGTGCACTCTGAAAACCAGGGCTGTATTCCCTCTGGGCCCGTTGCTCATCTAGGAAATATACTTGGAGTATATACAGATGTGACCAGTGGCTTATGCAGGTCCTCCTCTCCCCTACTGAGACCTACCTCACACTCAGCCTGAGCATTGTCTAGCACAAGGCCATTGTCCTCATTCCAAGCTTCCAGTACCCCATCTGGCCGGGCCACTCGTCCATGGGCCCTTCCTCCCACCACATCCCTTGCCCCAAAGAGCTCATTTGGCACTTGGCATCTTCTACTCTTCACATTGATATAGTTGCTTCAGAGTAGGAACAAATCTGGTACCGCTGTATGTGCCCAAGGTAAGACCAGATGGTAACAATTTCCAGATGTCCTTTTTTTTCTCTTTGTTCAGTATTTTTGTAGTTTAAGAGTAAACAAAATGGTCTTATTTTACCAGGGATTTGAAATTCCTGTAAAGCAGAATTAATTTGGTAGACTAATGTATTTAGAATTCCATTTTTTACTATTTATTAACATTTGGGTTTTTTCACTAATGCTAAATGTAAGTTATATTTTATTTATCTGATATAATAGGTGATCTGGCAAAAACTGCATGTTTCCAGATTTTAAATAATTCCGTTAGGTTACTGAAATTTGAGTTGTACTGGCCAGCACATTGCCTTACGGTAACACCACAACATGGATTTATCCCGCCAGAGTAAGTATGACTTCCCTTTCCTCCAGATGTTATTCAGATGTTAGCATGGTGACTTTTTTGAAGGATCGGATATTATGCCATTTTAATTTATTCAGTAGAATTTTACCATATGCTCCCTATACAGAGTTTTGTGGGACCACAATGAAGTTCAAGATTCATTCTCTTTAGCAGAGTAGAGCCCATGTCCACAGCCACGTAGTGTGTATATAGCCTAAAAGGGTTAAGAGACATGAGTGAGATGGGAAAGAGTTCCTGAAGTGGAAGACATCAGATTGTGCAGACGTATTACTCTGTGTACCAAATTACAAAGCACGGGATACAGCTGGGCAGATGATGAGGGGTGGTGGTCCCTAAAGCCCAGATGGTTCTGTACTTCATTTTATAGACAAAGCATCCTGACTTTTAATAAGCCTGAACCATAACCTAGCTTGCCATTTTTTACAAATAATATTCTAAGAAGGAAATCTTGGGGACCAAATGCTGATAAGTAGTCCTCTAGGTGCAGCTTAACTATTGATAGGAGGTAAAGCTGTAATTCTGCAGCTTTTCAGGGACTTCATCTGGGTGGGCACAGAACATTCACATCTCAAAGTTGCTTCCTATTTGGGAATGGCAACTTTGCAGAAGAGCAACATGAGGTTTATTTACTTTTGCAAAGTGATGAAGTTTGCGTTTTAAAAGAGTTTAGTTGACTAATACTGACCTAAGGTATGGTTAGGCATGCTCCAGAGAAACATTCCTAGGACCAAAGCAATCAATTAAACATTTACTAATTAAGGTTGAAAAGATAGGGAAATGATAGAACAGATTATTCACAAATAATTTTTAAAATCATCCCACATATTTAGCTGTTAGGAACGGAAAATAATCTTGCTCTGTCATTTGTTTAAAGATTTTATTTTATTTATTTGTTTGAGAGAGAGAGTGCATGAACAGTTGGGGGAGGGGCAGAGGGAGAAGCAGACTCCCCACTGAGCGGGGAGCCCAACTTGGCCCTCAATCCCAGGATGAGCTGAAGGCTCATCTGTCTGAGCCACCCAGGCACCCTTGCTCTGCGATTTTTGACATGGGTGCCAAAGTGTCTTTTGTAACTGGTTGTTTCTTCTGAGTCACAAATCTGATTACATTGTCCACATTTAAAAGTCATCTTTGACATTCCATAGCTCTTGAAGAGAATAATGAGCTCAGAAAGTTTTAGCAATTGGGTAAAAAACAGTCTTTTTTTATTTCCTTTCCACCCCCTCCCCCTTTTTCTTCCAGTTTCTTTTCCTGCTGTTTCATTCTCTTTGTACTGTAACTATATCATCCTTTATTATCAAGTGGATCAGAGCTTTTGTATATTGGTCTTGTGCTCCAGAAATTTTTATTTTGAATTGCTTTTTAAATGGTATTTCTCTGGTATGGGCTGTTTTCACATGAGTTTTCCCCTTAGGTTCATGGGTTTATGCCACTCAACTTTTTGTTAGCCACTGAGTTGGGGCTGTTGCAGACATATATGGGATCTCACCTCTTTTCTGCTCTTTCTTTTTTCTTTTTTTTTTTCCTTAAAGATTTTATTTATTTATTTATTTGACAGAGAGAGAGAGAGCACAAGTAGGCAGAGCAGCAGGGAGAGGGAGAAGCAGACTCCTTGCTGAGCAGGGAGCCCGATGTGGGGCTCGATCCCAGAACCCTGGGGTCATGACCTGAGCCGAAGGCAGACGCTTAACCAACTGAGCCACACAGGCAGCGCCCCTTCTCTGCTCTTTCTGAGCAACAAGGAGAGCTGGTCATTGACAGAACATATATAACTCTAGTGGTTATTGCTATTAAAGTATAGGATACTCTTGGTTTTCATTACTAAATTCTTTTTTTCAGGAGTAAGCTACAAATTCTTGTGAGTCCTAATTCCTCCTTATCCACAAAACATTCAATGTTCCCATGGAGTGGTTTAATCTATATACACTGTGACAATGGACAGAAGGTACTTTGTTTTTTTTAGCAATGTTTTTCTTGTTTTGCAGCTTAAGTGTTGTGATCCTTATTAGCACTTACTTTTCAGAAATGAAATGAAGGGGCCTGTTCTTTCAGCCCAGCTAGACTTATTCAGATAGAGAACTTAGCACAGAGTTTTTCCATTAGTGATCTGAACGATTCTCCTGGGTGGGGCAAGAATGGAGAGTGGAGCCTAGAAACCATTATTAACTTGCAGAATCTGCTTTGAAAAAGAAGGGAGTTGGGGGAGAGAGAGAGGAAGAGTCAAAGATTTACTTTGAGATCTGAATAAATTTTCTCATCCATCCATGTTTCATTTGTTTGGCATTACTTTTCTCCACTGTGTTTTAAAAATAAGAATTGTTTCTTTAAAATGATAGATCCATTTGTGTCTTACTTCCTTTATTTGGCTCATTTCAGAAAATTGTGAAAGTTCAAATTCGTGAAGACTTAACCCAGAAAGAACTCCTCACTCATTTGGCCTCCAGCACATTTGGAGTCCTTTCTCCAGGAACTGAGCCTTCAGTTAGTTACCTGGTGAAACCAATGACAAAACCACCTTCCACAAAAGTTGAGATAAGAAACAAGACTGTTACTTTTCCTGCAACAGAACCTGGTGAAACTTCAGGTATGATATCACAAGGTTATAGAATTCACATGGCCACTGATCTGTTGAGTCTAACACTCTGTGTTCTTAGTGACCTTTATCGTAGTGACAGGGATAAAATTGTCCCCTATTTCAGGAGAGACTCAGGTTGTCGTTGGCAGTCATTTCCATGACAGGCCAGATTTGGGGGAGCTTAAAAATGATAAAATGTAGGTGTTTAAGAACTGTTTATATTCCGGGAGTCTCAGATTCTACCTGGTCAGAACCATCCCTCCTCAGCACTCACTAGGTCTTTTACCAGAGCTGCTAATAAGTTAGCAGCTGAAGAAGAGGAGAAAGTAGGTAAAACCTGATTCTTTCCCTCACTAATGAGACTTTGAGGCACTAAGAGGTTAAATAAATATGCTCAGTTTCCCCATTTGTAAAGTGGCCATCATAATTGACTCCTCTCACAGAGGGCTTTGAGGAATAAATGAAATAGTATATTTAAAGCACTTGGCATAGTGTTTGTCACCTAGTAGGCACTCAGTCTTGCTAATGTTCCTCCAGGGTCCTGAGAACACTGCTTTTGCTTTCCCTCCCTCTCTCCCTCCCTCCCTGTGATGGCTCATCTAAGTGACTGGGATTGCACATGGGACCTGTTGGAAAGGGTGTGGGCCTTCTGTCACCTGGCCCTCACTCCTTGCCTCTCTCACTTCCACTCACACTCAGTTTCCACTGCCCGTGAAGCCTGTCCCTCCCCAGTCATCGCCCATCCCCTGGCTCCATCCGCCCCGCTCGCGTCCTCCAGGAGTCCCAGCGGCTCTCTGGCCTCATTCAGACGTCCAGGCTGCTGGCCCTGCTGCCTCCTCACTCTCCCCCACCCCAGCCTTGGCCGCTTCTGCCTGAATTCTGTGCTCTGTCACTGCAATTACTGCCTTAGGAACGCTCTCAACTGCTGTGTGCCCCTCCCTCTGCATTCCTGACTGGCAAGATCCGGACCCTTGTGAGAGCCAGCCATCATCTACCAGCTCCGTGTCTCTCCTGTAGCGGCGCAGCTGCTGGAGAAAGCCACGCATTCGGGGTCTCTGCTCTCAGATGCCGCTCCGCACCACGCTTCTCTTAGCAGCCCTCCTTGGTGTGTGTCCTTCCCCATTTCCTGTAGTCATCTGACAACGTCTCTCTTCTCAGTGCCCCTCCCCTGCTCCTACTCTCACTCTTCCAGCTCTTGATTTTGCCTCACACATCATTGCAAATACAAAAGCCGTTAGACTAAATGTGAGGCTTCTGTTTCCATCCCAGACAAACCTTTCTGCCTGGAATCTAGGCCCATCTATTCTTGCCTCCTCAGGGCCTTCCTCTGCCCCTTCTCTCTCCTATGTCCTCAGTTTCTCCCTTTGTTGATGCCTTTCCGTTGGCACACAGTACAATCTGCCATCACATGTTTAAGGAATGCCTTTCTTGGCCCCACCTCTCCTTGCTGCTCTCCCTGCTTCCGTGACACCCCTCCCTCCTGGAAGGATTATGCTCCCTGCTTTCATTTCCTCGGGCTGTAAACGAAGTGGTGCTGCCACCTTGCCCTGACCCTGCTATTGAGGTCACCGAAAAGGGATTGTCTCTTCTATGGGTCTTTGTTAATTTGACCCCTCAACACTGGCGACCACTCCTTCCTCCTTGGACTACTTTTTTTCTTGTGCCTCTCCTGGTTTCCCTGCTTCACATGCTCCTTCTCAGGTTTCGCTGATGACTCTTTTTCTTCCTGGGCCTGCCTCTGTCCCCTTCTTTCTCTAGGCTCTCCCTGCACCCCACTCAGCTTCTGTGTGCTGGCATCTCACAAACAGAACTCTTGTTTTACCCATGAAACCTGCCTCTCCTCCAGCCCTACCCATGTCAGTAAGTGGCCCCACTGCCTGCTCATTAAGCCAAATCCCTGGAAGTTATTTGTTCTTTGCTTCCTCCCTCTTCCCACACAGTCCACTAGCAAGTCCTTTGCGGTCCGTCTCCAGAATGGATCCCCTGTCTGCCCGCTGCTTTTCCTCCCACTGCCATGACTCAAGCCTGATGCAGACCACCCCTCATGTGTTCTCTCAACGCAACTGCTGCCATGGCATTTTACTGGGGCTCCTCATCCACTCTGACCCCCTTGTGGTCTCTCCTCTCCACAGCAGCCAGTAACTCTTTAAATTAACATGTAAATCATCTTATAGCTCTCTTGCTTAAGCTCTTCATTATCCTTTGATTAAATCCAAAACAAAATATCTGTCAAATTTGATTTTGTTAAAAAATACTGTAAATTCCCATTGGGCTCCTCTAAGGATCGGATGAGTGTATTTTTCCCCTATGATGAGATAATTAGTCATTATTACACATTATCACAGTAATCTGCTTATTTACTTCTCCAAGAATTGTTTGAGTTGTGACATGTGTGTTCCTTGTAGAAAATTTTCTGGAACTTGAGAATCATGGTAACACAGAAGTGAAGTGGCATCTGTCATCCTTAGCTCCACCTTATGTCAAGGTCAGTAGTAGTTGCCTTAAATATATTCATTTTAATGTTTAAACTTTATTTGGGGTGTTTTTATACTGAATTATGAGCATAGGTTGAGATTATTGGGGTTTTTTTGTCCCACTAATTCACTTACTTGATTTTCTCTAGATGGGGCTAATACATGCCCCATCTTTTTCACAAGGTGGTTTTAAGAGTCAGATTAGAGAATGTATGTGAAAATATGTGCTTGCTCATTTAATGCTACCTCCTACCTGATTTTTATCTGAAATAACTTTATTTTGAAAAATATATAAAAATTTTATTATGGAGCATTGTGTGTGCATACACACGCATATGCATTTTTCTTTCCCGTGTTCAGAGTACTATTATGTGTTTTCAGCTGGTAGGAGCTAGTGTAGGAGACAGAATTGAATGTTCTTTGTCAGTGAGTGCTAGCCTACTCTGTACTGCAAATAGTCTCCACCAGTAGGCTCTCCGTGAATTGAGCATGTTGTCATGTATGTTGTTTAGAATGCTGTGGCCTTTCTGCCATGTATTTTGTGTGATAGTAGCAGTTTTGAGCCCTAATACTAACAAAATGTGTGCAAAAGATAGTGCTGTACCTACTGAAAAAAAAAATAACTGGTATTGCATATGATGTTAAAATGCACGTTCAGCAAGGGTCTTTAGGGTCCTTGAGCTTGAACATTATGAGCACCATCCTAAAGATGACTGTAGCCAGGGAGGAGTGGCTGTTGATGGAAGGAGGAGCGTCAGTGTGAGGCCTTTGTGAGTAGAGTTAAGTAGCACTCCCACTCCTAGGCAGGCATTGAGCTCTCCTGGCCCCTGCAAAATGGGTTTGTGTGTCCTTGGTAACCATAAAGGTAATGGTGTCACTCTTAACTTTTATATTTTTTTCATTTGATTGCTTAAATAATTGTAGGGAGTTGATGACAGTGGAGATGTTTTTAGAGCTACCTATGCAGCATTCAGATGTTCTCCTATTTCTGGTATACTAGAAAGCCGTGGAATTCGGAAGGTGAGTTTTGACATTTTTTTCATAGTAAGAACATGGTGTTGATTGACCAGGAGACCCTCATTTGTTTCCGCCCAAAGTAGTTGCTTCAGCTAGACCAGTGCTGCTCTGCTAACAACCGGCTTGCCCCAGGAGAAGACCCGCCTCAGTGCACGTCAGTGGACTGCTTCGTGCAGCAGAGGTCTTGCTTTCTAAACAGCTAAACAAAATGCCATGCTTAGTGGTAGGATTGATTTACATTCTGATATAAGCACTTCATGTGGCCATAGACTGCCAGTACTTACAACACACTTTGAGTAGCTCTAATCTAGACAGTAGTTTTGTCCACCAGCCGTAGTAGAAAATTCTGCCACTGCTCAAAAACAACTGTGTTCATGTCATAGTCAACAGTATATCTTCATGGGCAAGTGGTGATGGATCTTTTTAGTACCATGACCCTCTTAAGTTCTAACTTATTTGTAGACCTGACATAGCTTTTTCAAATATCCCTTAGTGACACTAGTCATTCACTTGGCCTCAGTAATATGCTTTTTCATGCTAACAGCTGAAACTCATTTAAACTATAGCACTTACATGGCGTTGGTCCATTTATTCAGAGATTCAGACTTGTAATCAGTTCTAGACTATAGTTGTGAACTCATTACTGACTATACAAGAATATTTGAGCAGTGATAGTCACAAACCCAGTGCACTTTACTAGGTCTGTATAACAGGCCTCCAGGGGGTTTCTGACTTTTTTGGAAAGACATACTATTCTACAGCATAGTTTATTTCATTTCCCAGCCCACAGTAGCGGCAAAGCAGCATAATAGGGAATAGACACATTGCCTAACAAAAGTTCAACATCTGGGGCAAAGGCGGTGGGGGAAGGGTTGCAAAAAAAAAAAAGCCAGCAGTAAAGACATCCCATGTTCATGGATCAGAAGATCTAACATTACTGAAATAGCAGTATTCCCTAAATTGATCTACAGATTCAGTATAATCTCAATCAAAAATCCCAGCTGGTGTTTGGTTTTTTGTTTGTTTTTTAAAGAAATTGACATGCTGATCCTAAAATTCATATAGATGTTCAAGAGAACCAGCATAACCAAAACAATCTTGAAAAAGAACAAAGTTGGAGGATTCATACTTTTCATTTTCAAAACCATAGTAATCAAAACTATAGTATTGACATAAGGATAGACATATAGAATATGTGGAATAGACTTGAGGGTCCCCAAATAAACCCTCATATTTATCGTCAGTTGATTTTTTCAATAAGGGTACTGAGACAATTCAATAGGGAAAGAATATTTTCAACAAATGGTGCCAGGACAACTGATATCCACCTGCAAAAGTATTAAGTTGGATCCTTACCTCACACCATATGCAAAAAGTAGCTTGAAGTAGACCATAGACCTAAAACTATAAAATTCCTGGAAGATAACATAAGTATTCATGACCCTGGGTTAGCCTTGGTTTCTTAGATATGGTACCAGTAAAGCACAAGTGACAAAAGAAAAAATAGATGAATTATCAAAATGTAAAACTTGAGTGCATCAAAGGATACCGTGTGAAAAGGCATTCCAGATTATGGGAAAAAATGTTTAGAAATTATACATTTAATGAAGGATTTGTACCCAGAATGTGTAAAGAACTCATACAACTAGATAATACAAAGACAACCAGTTTATATTTTTTATTTTTATTTTTTTTAAAGATTTCATTTATTTATAAGAGACAGAGAGGCAGAGGGAGAAGCAGGCTCCCCACCGAGCAGGGAGCCCAATGCGGGACTCGATCCCAAGACCCTGGGAACATGATCTGAGCTGAAGGCAGATGCTTAACCATCTGAGCCACCCAGGCGCCCCAAATAACCAGTTTAAAAAATGGGTAAAGATCTGAATAGAAATAAAGAGGGGCTCCTGGGTGGCTCAGTCGGTTAAGCGCCTTCCGCTCAGGCGTTCATCCCAGCATTCTGGGATCTAGCCCCGCATTGGGCTTTCTGCTCATCGGGGAGTCTGCTTCTCCATCTCCCTCTGCCCCTCCCCCCTACTTGTGCGCTGTTTCTCTGTCTCTCAGCTAAATAAATAAAATCCCCAGTGTTCAAATAAAAACATATACACAAGTGTTCATCGCAGCCTTATTCAAGATAGCCAAAAAGAATAGAAATAACCCAAATGACCATCACTTGATAGATGGATAAACAAAATGTATACCCATACAATGAAATATTACTTGGCAGTAAAAAGGAATGAAGTACTGATAACACGCTACCACATGAACCTTGAAAACATGCTAAGTGAAACAATCCAGACACAAAACGCCATATATTATATGACTCAGTTTGTGTGAAATGTATAAAATAGGTAAATCTGTAGAGACAGAAAGTAGGTATGTGGTTGTTGGGGCTGGGAGTGAAGGTGGGGAGTGGGGAATGACTGCTGATGGCTATGGGGCTGGGGTTTTTTTGGATTGTTGAAAATACTTTAAAATCAGATTGTGGTGGTGGTTGCACAGTTCTGGAAATATACTAAAAACCCCTGACTACACTTGAAGTGGGTGAGTTGTATGGTATATGAGTTCTATCTCAGTGAAACTTTGAAAATAGAAAAACAAGGATGCAGGACTAGATTGTCTCCTGGGAATTTCTCCTTTCACACAGTACCTAACATAGAAATGAAACCTCTGTGAGATCTTTGATCTTTTTGTGTTCATCACTGCATGTCTTGGACTGAACTCATTACTTACCACACTGTCAGGTCACATTTGTCAATTGAATTCCAGATCTGAGTACTTAATTTACATTAGGGGAGAAGAAAGCAAGGCACATCCTTCTGGGACCATTTAGGGAAATACTCCCCCAAAAGCACCACTATTGATGTATGTAACAGTGATCCAGAAGGAAGAAAACATTAGTTTGTTAGTTACCTATTTCTTACAATAATAGATGTACATAGTAATATTCTGAAACATTGGTAAGTTTGAATGGGATTAAATGAGCTAATGAATGTTAAAGTTCCTATTATGTGTCTACTGTGTGTCACATACAGTACTAGTAGGTTGTCCCCTCCTCTTTGTTTATTTTTGGTGTTGGAAGACAGTGTTTGGTGGGATTTGTAGAGTACATGGTACTATAATGCCCAGTGGTTCCAGATAATTCGTAGAGTTTCACCATTTAGGACATGGTTGGTTTTTTTTTTCATTCTTTTTTCCTTGATCTTCACAGTGTCCACACCCTCTTTTAACAGTGTAATTCCCTAATCTTGATGACCACCTCTCCTCCATCAGTATCTGTCTTTGCCTCCACACCCTAAGACTTGCTGGCTGCATTGTTTCTTATGTTCTGTATTGACAGAAATTGGGTCATTTAACAGTTTTAATGTTAAGTCCAGACTCAGAGATACTGATTAGTGGTTAATATAGCTAATAGTATTTTTAACACTGAATTCTTTGATAAAGGAAACACTTAACACTGGTAAACTTTATAAAATACTATTTTTAAATACGACAACTTTCTCATTACTGAGCTTTTTACAGGTTGTACGCATACAGTTCACATGTATAACTTTGAGGAGTGTGGTCGGTGTAACTGGTTTCAGGCCTCAGGCCTTTACTGCATGGCCAGCAGAGGGTTCTATAAGCATTGCAATGAAAGACTGGATTGTGTTTCTGGGGTTGACCTTCCTCATTTAGGTCTTGTACTTGACAGCTCTAGAATTTTTTGGTAATGTAAATAGCATTTGCATTTTGAGGAATATGTTACACAGAGCCCTAAAGAAAAGTGTTATCTTGAATCTGGTATAATTTTCTACCAAAAGAATTGTTCAAATTCCTTTTCAGTTAGTGGCAAAACTAGCCTAGCCAGTGCTAAACCATATACCAACTATATGGTGTATGAGGCTTAGTGTCTAAATTTCTCCCCTGGATGTGTTGTTTTGTAGGTCTCCATCACTTTTTTGCCCAGGGATAGAGGGGCTTATGCTCAGTTTTGGGATGTTGAGTGTCACCCCCTTAAAGAGCCTCACATGAAACATACCCTGAGATTTCAACTCTCTGGACAAGTGAGTATTACGCTGAACTTAAGTAAATTATTGTGTGTGTATATTAAAAACATTAAGTGAAACTGACATGGAAAACTGTCCTGAAAATGCAGACTGTTTTCCTGGTATTATTCTAATTTCATTAATTCTGTTGTCTGGCCCTGTAATCTTAATTTTCTCGTTTGGTTTTATTGATTGGCATGTTTGAGGTCTGGGTTTGGCTCTGAAATCTGTGTGTGACTTGATTAGGTAAGATTGTGTTTGTGTGTAAAAGAAGCTGAACAGTAAAAAATGGAAGGATTGCGGGAATTTAAAAATTTAAGTTTTCTTTTAAAAACTATGAAGGAAATAATAGAATTCAACATATTTTCCAAGAGTATTTATTTTTCCTTCCCCTACCCTGTGATTTTTTTTGTTTTTTATACAGAGTGTCAAAGCAGAAAATGAGTCTGAAAGTTCACACATTTCCACAAACTCCCTCATTAAACTAGATAATTTAGTTAAGCCCCGAAGACAAGCTGTATCAGAGGCTTCTGCTCCCATACCAGGGTATGTTGGTTTTGTCATTCTTACGACGTTTTTTCCAGTACTTTATTGAGATATAATTATATTCAGTAAAATGCTCAGTGACCTACATGCATTGCTTCCCCTCCAATCAAAATAGAGAATATTTCTCTCACCCAGAAAGCTCTTACATATCCCTTTGCAGTCAGCCCAGCCTTCACCCCAGATTTGTTCTGTTCTGATCTATTGCCAGAGGTTAGTTTTGTTGAATTTCATACACATACACACTCCTTGAGTCTGGCTTCTTTCACCACACATGTTTTTGGGATTCATTTGTGTTACAGAGTATATATGTAGTTTGTCCCTTTTCCTTGTTGAGTATTGCTTTATGTGAACATACCACAGTTGATTCATTTTCCTGATGACGTTTGGGTGGCTTCTCATTTGGAGCCATTATAAGTGAAGGTGCTGTGAACACTATTGTATGTGTACTTTTGTGGACATATTTTTAAATTTCTTTTGGATAAAAATACCTGAAGAGTAGAATTGCTGGGTCATATGGTAAGCATGTGTTTAACTTTAAAACAAACTGCCAAATAGTTTAACCAAAGTGACCATACCATTTTATGTTCCCAAAAACACTGTATGAAAGATTCTTAAGAACTTTAATTTTTATTTTTTTAATAGTTTATTATATTTTTTAGTAATCTCTACACCCAGTGTGGGGCTCGAACTCATGACCCCAAGATCAAGAGTCACGCATGCTCCTCCGACTGAGCCAGCCAGGCACCCCTTAAAACTTTTTAAAATGTGTTTTTTATACCAGCAGCTCACACAGCTCTAATTATAGTATTTAAGTATTTTACTTAATAAACATGTTTCTTACAATCCTTAATTAACTAATATTTAGATCTAACTTTGTTCTAGAGGAAGACACTTGTAAGAAAAATATATGTTAAATACCTGCTAAATTTAATATACATGTTGTCATTTATTTTCTAATGGGAGTAAGTAATGCATTTTGTAAGAAATGAGGCTCCTTTAAAGATTATGAGTTCTAACCACACTCTTTTGATGCTACTTACTCATTTGTTCATCTCCTCTTTACGGAGCGCACATCATGTGCCAGGCAAAACTGCCCTAGTCCTTGCCTCCAGGGACTTTATCTCCCAGAGAAAGAACCACATCACAAATGGCTTTGTTACAACCCGTGGAAAGGACTGGAAGGAAATAAACGGGAAACATAGGAAACACGACAGAGGGAGCTTGATGTGTGCTACCGGCAAGAGCCTCCCTGAAATGGGACCTTTAAGTTGAGGAGAATAAGTGGAAATGACGGAAGTGACGAGCATAGGAAAAGTTCCTGGCCTTTTAAGACCAGGTAGTGGGGAATGTTGGCCCTTGAGGAACCAAAGGCAGCATAGAGGCCTAGAGCCCAGAGGGAGGGAGAGTAGTGTGAGGTGAGGCCAGAGGGCTGGTGGGGAGAGGCAGACTGTGCAGGGCCTCTCATGTCACATGTTAAATTGGGGTTTATCTGGGAAGCTATTGGAAGCCATGAGTGACGTGATCAGATTTGAGTATTTATAGAAAAATCTTCTGGCTGTGGTATGGTCTGATTAGGAGGCAAGAGTAGATATGGTAAAATAAGTCAGAAGCTTTTTTTTTTAAAGATTTTACTTACTTATTTGACAGAGAGAGACACAGCAAGAGAGGGAACACAAGCAGGGGGAGTGGGAGAGGGAGAAGCAGGCTTCCCGCCGAGCAGGGAGCCCAATGCAGGGCTCGAGCCCAGGACCCTGGGAACACGACCTGAGCCGAAGGCAGATGTTTAACGACTGAGCCACCCAGGCGCCCCATCAGAAGCTATTTTTAAGTAGTCCAGGACTAAAGCAGTGTCAAGGAAGATGATGAGAAATGGATAGATCTGAGAGGTATATAGGAAGGAAATTTGAAGGACCTAGTGAATGGGTTGAGTAAGGGGGCTTGAGAGAGAAAGGGAGTCAAAGTTGGCTCCCAGACAGAAATACAAGTGGAGGATCAGGTCTGAGAAGAAGGATCTCAGGTTTAGTCTGTATTTGTGGTGCCAGGTCACTGTGTGGTGATAGGCATGTTGCCCAGAAGTTCAGTGTGAGCTGAGAATGAATATCTGGGAGTCACACAGGGTTGGGGTTGCTGGAGCATCGAGCTGGGATTGCCTGGGGAGACTGCGGCTAGAGCAGTTAGGGATGTCCGGGGCCAAGCCACAGGGGACAGCAGCATTGGTGGTGAGGGAGTGGGGATGAGCCTGCACAGACTGAGCCTGGCATTTCAGCCACTGCCATCAAATGATGCCGAGAAGGCAGAGCTTGTGTCCCGCTGTAAGGGTAGTCTGTCCGGAAAAATGAAGATCATCCAGTGAAGTGAACTAAGGTGACAGGAGCACCTGCATGCACGTGGGGTGTGAGGCAAGTGGAGAGCCAGTCCCCAGGGAGAAAGGGGCAGAGGTGGTGCTGTCACCTGTGTCCTGTCCCATGTAGCAGCTGACCCTGCACGTTATCAGAGTACTGTGCCGGGCGTTCTGTCTTGATACAGATTAATGAAGTTGCCATTACAGAACTAGCTTCCAGCTGAGTTGTGAGAGAAAATACAAATCAAAACACAAAACACTTCCTTGTTGAATATATATAAATTGTTTAAATTACTCTGGATTTTAAATAGTTGACTTTTAAGCCTGTTTCCAAAGCAGACAGCTTGACTTGACGCACCGCGGAGTTTATGCCCCAGAAGATGTGTATCGGTTTCCGCCTACTAGGGTTGGGGAATCAAGGACGTTGAAAGTCAACTTGCGAAATAATTCTTTCATTATGCACTCTGTAAGTTGGAAATAGTACTGGGGGTTTTGGGAAAGCGGATGTATTCAACTATTTGATAAATATTTTCCTGATAATTTAGAAGCTTGTTTTATAAATTATACTTTAAGTTATAATATTGAGTTAATTTTTTAAATGCCTTATACTGTATTTGAAAAGAAGCTCATGGGAAGTTCATGACCCTTTATCTGAAAATTGAAAATATTTGGCATTTGTTTTCATATTTTCATTTTTAATTTTTTTCTGAGTTTTCTTATTCTTCTGTACCATCACACCAATATATTTCTGGATAACATTTACTCTAGTCAGAACTAGAGTAAATTCATACTAGAATTATTTTAAATGTGTTTCCATGAGCATTTATTGTCTTACCTAATTTTGTGGCTATACTTAAATTTACTAAATACCTTTAGTTAAAGAAATGCATGGTATGTTTTAAAGTATGCTCAAATACCTAACTTGCATAACTTTAAATAAAGTGTTTCATATTAAATTCCAGCTCAAGTTTTTAAGTCCCAGAGAGCCTTTCTACGTCAAACATTCAAAATATTCTTTGAGGTGAGTTTATCGTAAATCAAAATGTTCTCATCCTAGTGCAGGACTGTTTTCAGGACTTCAGGATTTCTCCTGGGAGTTGGGACTTGTGAACTCTCCCCACCTCCATTATAGCCCCTCATCTCCATCATCAGCACCACAGAGCATTCCTTGTCAATTAAAAAAGAGCTGAGGAACCTGCCAGGAAAGCATTTCATGACTGCTTTACTATCTGGCAACCCAAATTTTGTGAGAGGTTTTGGATTTAGCATGTGATTCCTGTTACCAGGTATTTTGCCCATCACATAAGTACATAGAACATTAATTATCTTGTGATTTAGAATAATTTCTTCTTCTTTTTTTTTTTAAAGATTTTATTTATTTATTTATTTGACAGAGAACACAAGCAAGGGGAATGGGAGAGGGTTCTAGAAGCAGGCTTCCCGCTGAGCAGGAAGTCTGATGCGGGGCTCAATCCCAGGACCCTGACAGACACCCAATGACTGAGCCACCCAGGCACCCCTAGAATAATTTCTTCTTTAAATGTTATTTTCACTATGCTAAGGATCAGGGAGTTAAATTTTCAATAATTACGACAAAAACCTTCCCAGATTAATTGGGAAACTTTAATATGATATTTTTCCAGTTGTCATTCTTCAAATACCTGTACTTTTTTTTTTTTTTAAGATTTATTTGAGAGAGAGAGAGAGAGAGCACAAGCCGGGGGAAGGGGTAGAGGGAGAGGGAGAAGCAGGCTCCCCGCTGAGCAGGGAGCCTGATATGGGGCTTTGGGATCATGACCTGAACCAAAGGCAGATGCTTAACCGACGGAGCCACCCAGGCATCCCGAAATACCCTATTCTTCTTAAACCAGGGTCTTGTTTTCTTGTCATCCTTGCTACTTTTTGTTTTCCGTATGATCTACATTTTTTTTTAATATGATATATATTTAGATTGAAATCTCAAACTGTGTTGTCACTGTTATTTAGAATTTTAATAGTAGGGTTCTGTCAGACTTAACACTGAAGAATAATTTTATCTCCATCTTTGAATTTTTAATTAAGCCATTTAATTAACTATAAACTCTTTTATTTTAGTATTAGGTGATTCCAAAAATATGTTCTGTTCCATGAAAACTTGGACCACCCTGTAGACATTCTAGGACTGCCTCTGAGGCACTAAGACTAGCAGAGCCATACTCTGGAAGGTTACCCGTATCTCTAGATACTGAAAAGATGCTGTGGGGGGAGGCCTGTTCCCTCACCTCTTTCTCTTTTCTGTCTTCATCTCTTCCACCTCCCCTCCCAGCCTCCACCCTGTAAAACCTGATCTTCATGTACTTGAGGGCCCAGCACTTCCTTTGCCTCCCAGGGCCTGACCTAAGAGCATAAACTGCAAATTAAACAATGAATGTAGCTAGAAAGTTATCATAGGCCTCATCTCTCTAAGCCTTGGTTTCCTGATCTGTGAAAGAGAGATGACAATGCTCCTGGCAGCATGGGCTCGTTAGGAGAAGGACGTAAGCGATGTGCAGGTGTGCGCGCCTAGCCCTGGGAGGCACTCGGCAGGCGGTAGCGTCTTCGGCAGAACTGACAACACCTTCCTTTCAGCCGGCCTTACCGGCAGGGTCCATCAGGACCACCGACCCCATGGATTAGAATGGAACACCACATTTTTGTGTCGGTGCTTTTCCTTTAATCTCTTCAACAGCCACATGGAAGAGAAAGGCCTAAGTTTTAAAAAGCCACTAACCACATGTTTTCTAGCTTCTGTACTCTGAGTCCCTGACTCCCAGCAGCCTGCGGGCCTCCAATTAATGAGGCTTTGCCCTACTGATTCAGGACTGCTGATGTTAGACTGTTTGTCACAGTAGGTGGGTACTGCTAAATACATGAGTAAGAAGACCAAGTGAAGTAAACCCCGGCTCATAGAAAACTTCTCTCAAGACCCCTCCATAGGCTGAAAGTTTACAGAAAGTTAGGCAGAAAAGCTGGTTTCTTTGTACTCCATAAGAATGACTTCTTTCAACTTTGGAGAAGAAGCAAAACTTTGCCACAGTATCTCACTTGAAAATTTTTACCACAAAACTGAAATAGTGCTGCCTGTTCTTCTTGTAAGTGTTGAGTGCTTTTGTATTTATCCCACTTTGATTTTGGACAGGGACTCATGAACTACAAATGCTGGTTGAGAGCAACGGTTAGCTTGCTTTGGCAGCTGAACAAAATCTGTTCTGAGAATCTGAGCAGCAGTTCCCAGCTTTTCATTAGTGATGTTTTTGTTCATTAGATCACTCTCTGCTCTATGACACCATGAACTCCAGCCTTCCAGAGTAATAATGTGACTTTAGTCATCTGTAGGGTACATGAGGTAATCCGTGCCTTACTTCAAATAGGGCAGTTGTGAGGCCTGATGGGGCTGCTCTGGGTAGTTCTTGCACTAAAATGTGAAAGCGGCCCGAGGCCTTTGGGATATAAACTGACTGCCACTTAAATAGGAGAGCTTCCCCCAGAGGCCACAGGGGTTTTGCCTGGTTCAGAGGGGGGGAGCATGAGTGTGTGTTGGGGATATAGCCCCCTTAAAGCAATAGATTATAAAGAAGGTATTAGGAAAAAGGAAACCCTGATTATCCATTTTTTTGTAAAGTTTGTTTTGGGGGCTCTAGGTGATCATTTCTGTCCTATCTCTGTAAAAAGAATTTGTTTATGTTCCCACTTAGCCCTGAAAAGCATTCTTCTGTTAGCCTATTGTTTTATTCAAGTCTAATCTGCTGAGACGTTACAGTAGCGCATCTCCGGTGTCCCATGCCCATGTCTGCATGCACCCCGCCTCCTAGCCTCTTGCTGCTGAGCTGCCAGACCCTGTGTCATTCTGGAGGGAAGGACGCTTCTCAGCCAAAGTCACAGCCAGGGACAGTGCTGTCACTGAGCCGTCATTACTTCTTACCAACACGCAGGAACCAAGGAGTTTGTCACTTCTTTTCAATTTCTTTGATAATGATGGTACCTCAGCTGTGCTGACGGGCTACTTTTTTCCTACACAGAGTATTCCTTTACAATTAAAAAAAAAAGGAAGGAAATCTGGTTTATAGACTTCATAGGTCCTGTAGATGGGGTCATGTAGTTAGGAGGTGGTCTAGAGCAATCTTCCACAAACACTGCCTCACTCTCGGCTGTGTCTTTGCTCTAACGTTACTCCTCAGCTAGTAAGGGATTTTGAACTACACCTCTCCTCTGGGTTCAGCATACTTTACTCTTACCTTTTCCCTTTTAAGCGTGTGTGTGTGTGTAGAGGAGAGAGAAAGAGAGGTTAAAGCAGTTTTTAATAATAGTACATGTACTATGTTAAATATATCCATCTTTTAGTATTCTAGAGCTGTGTTAAATTGCAGTTATATTTTTTTAAATTTTATTTTATTATGTTAGTCACCACACATACATCATTAGTTTTTGATGTAGTGATCCACAATTCATTGTTTTCATATAATACCCAATGCTCCATACAGTATGTGCCTTCCTTTTTTTTTTTTTTTAAAGATTTTATTTATTTATTTGAGAGCGAGCAAGTACATGAGAGGGAGGGGGGAGGGTCAGAGGGAGAAGCAGACTCCCTGCCGAGCAGGGAGCCCGATGCGGGACTCGATCCAGGAACTCCAGGATCATAACCTGAGCTGAAGGCAGTCGCTTAACCAACTGAGCCACCCAGGCGCCCAGTATGTGCCCTCCTTAATACCCATCACCGGGCTAACCCATCCCCCCACCCCCCTCCCCTCTAAAACCCTCAGTTTTTTTCTCAGAGTTCATAGTCTCTCATGGTTCATCTCTCCTTCCGATTTCCCTCCCTTTATTTTTCCCTTCCTTGTCCTAATGTCCTCCATGCTTTTCCTTTTGTTCCACAAATAAGTGAAACCATATGATAATTGACTTTCTCTGCTTGACTTATTTCACTTGGCATAATCTCCTCCAGTCCCATCCATGTTGATGTAAAAGTTGGGTATTCATCCTTTCTGACAGCTGAGTAATATTCCATTGTATATATGGACCACATCTTCTTTATCCATTCATCTGTTGAAGGGCATCTCGGCTCTTTCCACATTTTGGCTATTACGGACATTGCTGCTATGAACATTGGGGTGCATATGGCCCTTCTTTTCACTACATCTGTGTCTTTGGGGTAGATACCCAGTAGTGCAAATGCTGGGTCATAGGGTAGCTCTCTTGTTATTTTTTTGAGGAACCTCCACACTTTTTTCCAAAGTGGCTGTACCAACTTGCATTCCCACCAACAGTGTAAGAGGGTTCCGCTTTCTCCACAACCTCTCCAACATTGTTGTTTCTTGCCTTGTCAATTTTCGTATCTCAATGTGGTTTTGATTTGAATTTCCCTGATGGCTAATGATGAAGATTTTTCATGTGTCTGTTAGCCATTTGTATGTCTTCTTTTGAGAAGTGTCTGTTCATGTCTTCTGCCCATTTTTTGACTTGATTATCTGTTTTTTGGGTGTTGAGTTTGAGTTTTTTATAGATCTTGGATATCAGCCCTTTGTCTGTAGTGTTATTTGCGAATACCTTCTCCCATTCTGTGGGTTGCCTCTTTGTTTGGTTGACTGTTTCCTTTGCTGTGCAGAAGCTTTTTATCTTGATGAAGTCCCAAAAGTTCATTTTTGCTTTTGTTTCACTTGCCTTTGGAGATGTAGCTTGAAAGAAGTTGCTGTGGCCGATGTCAAAGAGGTTACTGCCTATGTTCTCCTCTAGGATTTTGATGGATTCCTGTCTCACATTGAGGTCTTTCATCCATTTGAGTTTATCTTTGTGTATGGTGTTAGAGAATGGTCAAGTTTCATTCTTCTGTATATAGCTGCCCAATTTTCCCAGCACCATTTATTGAAGAGACTTTTTTCCATTGCATATTTTTTCCTGCTTTGTCAAATTATTAGGGAACCCATATCTGGGTTCTCTATTCTGTTCCATTGGTCTGTATGTCTGTTTTTGTGCCGGTATCATGCTGACTTGGTGATCACTGCTTTGTAATATAGCTTGAAATAGGGCAACGTGATGCCCCCAGCTTTGTTTTTCTTTTTTAACATTTCCTTGGCGATTTGGGGTTTTTTCTGATTCCATACAAATTTTAGGATCGTTAGTTCCAGCACTTTGAAAAATGTCATTGGAATTTTGATCGGGATGGTGTTGAAGGTTTAGATTGCTCTGGGCAGCGTAGACACTTTAACAATGTTTATCCTTCCGATCCATGAGCATGGAATGTTTTTCCATCTTTTTGTGTCTTCTTCAATTTCTTTCATGAGTGTTCTGTGGTTCCTAGCGTACAGATCCTTTACCTCTTTGGTTAGGTTTATTCTGAGGTATCTTATGGTTTCTGGTGCTATTGTAAATAGAATCGTTTCTCTAATTTCTCTTTCTACAGTTGCGTTGTTAGTGTATAAGAAAGCAACTGATTTCTGTGCATTGATTTTGTATCCTGCCACATTACTGAATTGATGGATGAGTTCTAGTAATTTGGGGGTGGAGTCTTTGGATTTTCCACATAAAGTATCATGTCACCTGCGAAGAGAGAGAGTTTGGCTTCTTCTTTGCCAGTTCGAATACCGTTTATTTCTTTTTGTTGTCTGATTGCTGTTGTTAGGACTTCTAGTACTATGTTGAACAGTAGTGGTGAGAGTGGGCATCCTTGTCATGTTCCTGATCTTAAGGAAAAGGCTCTCATCTTTTCCCCATTGAGAGTGATAGTCACAGTTCTTTCTAAATTACATTCTAGTTTATTCAGAGTACCTGTAAATCTAAAGCAAATGATATATGTTTATCATAATACATTTTAAAAACACGTTCTCAGTTGAATGTGGAACAGTTCTATGTTCCATATTAAAATTTGTTAATGATGGATCTGTCAGATTTATTTCAGGGTACTTTATTACTTTTACTAATTCGTAAGTTATAAAGTCTCTTAAGTTGGCAAATTGTACATTATTCTGGGTACTGAAATGCTAACGTGAAAGATAAAATAGTAGTTTGTCAGTGCTAAGGACTAGGTACCATTTTTTAAAAAGGCACATTAGCTTTGATACAGGAAATTAGGGTATAATGCATTTGGGGAAAATAACCCAGACTTTTAAAAACTGAGTGTATGTGTGTGTGCATGCATACATTTTTATTTATTTTTAACTTATTTTTATTTTTATTATTATTTTTTAAAGATTTTACATCTTTTAAATTCTGCCTTACTAGTTATATCCAGGGAAAGGGCTTTGAAATACTAAAAACTGTTTTCTAAATTTCTAGCCCACTGCTGTTGTACACCCAAAAGCTAACACTGTACTGAGTTTTATCAGGAAGTATATTGGAAACAAAAGCATCTATCAGTTCTGATTGTTAAACTTTGAAAATGTAGTTCATAGATGAGACTCAGGGATGAAGTACCTTCCCCTGAGGAAAGTCTAAAAGCTATAAATTTTCACTTAAGACAATTAAAACTAAAAGTCAGTGACATCACATAGGCTATGATAAAGTATATGTGGTCTCATTCACCACGGGAATAAAGGTATATTTGTGAAGCTCTTGGGACCTAGTTTTATGAACAGAAACCTCCCAACATAATACTTCTTTTTTTTAAAGACTTAGTTTTCAGAGAGAGAGAGCACGTGTAAGCAGGGAAAGGGGCAAAGAGAGATGGAGAGGATCAGAATCTCAAGCAGATTCCCTGCTGAGTATAGAGCCTGACACGGGGCTTGATCTCATGACCCGGAGATCATGACCTGAGCCAAAACCAAGCGGCAGATGCTCAACCTACTGAGCCACCCAGGCACCCCCAACATAATAGTTCAAGCACAGGGCACTCATTACCTGCCTCTGTATACAGTTGACCCTTGAACAATGTAAGGGTTAGGGGCATCGACTTCCATGCAGTAGGATATCTGTGTATTACTTTTGACTCCCCCAAAACTTAACTTGTAATGGTCTACTGTTGACCAGAAGCCTTCCCAATAACAAACAATTAAGATATTTTTGCATGTGTATTACGTACTATATTCATACAATAAAGTAAGGCAGAGAAAAGAAAATGTGATCAAGAAAATCATAAGAGAAAAATTCTATTTATAGTACTACATTTTTCGAAGAAAAAAAAAATCCGCAGGTAAGTGAACCTGCTCAGTTCAAGCCTGTGTTGTTCAAGGGTCAAACATAATCTGAAAATAAATTTTCAAGAAAAATTTTTATAAAAGTTCTTAATACTGGAGCAGAACCTGTACAGTCCTGCCCCGTTACTGATGGGCATGGGACAGGTTGGTTTAATATCCTTCCCAGTTGAGTATGCCTGCTGGAGGAAGACGGGCAGGATATGTCAGGTGTTCTCTCACCCACCTCTGCGGACAGAACACAAAGTTCCATACACAATAGAACAGACCTCTCATTTCCCTTCTCCTATTTTTGTTGGATAGCCAGGAATATATATGCAATACTATTTGTTTTTGTTTTGTTTTATTTTAAGATTTTATTATTTATTTGACAGAGACACGGCGAGACAGGGGACACAAGCAGGGGGAGTGGGAGAGGGAGAAGCAGGCTTCCCACCGAGCAGGGAGCCTGACGCGGGGCTCAATCCCAGGACCCCGGGAACATGAGCCCAGCTGAAAGCAGATGCCTAACAACTGAGCCACCCAGGCGCCCCTGTGCAATATTATTTGAACCCAATTTTAGATTTTCCTCTCCTCTGTGCCAGTTTCTTATTAAATAATAGCATCAAAGAAATGAGAACCAAATTTAAGCTGAATATAACAATACTAAATTCTTTCATGAAGATCATCTGTGCTCTCTGCCATGCATCGTGTTTATTATTATTGTGGCAGGTGATGCACTTGCTGTTGTAGCATCAGGCCAGTGACCTTTCCTTTCTCTTTACAGAGCCCAGCATTACATCAACATGCCTGTGCAGTTCAGACCAAAGTCAGTGGGCAAATTCGAAGCCTTGCTTCTTATTCAAACAGATGAAGGCAAGAGTGTCGCTATTCGACTAATGGGTGAAGCTCTTGAAAAAATTAACTAGATACATTTTGTGTAAAGTAAATTACATAAGTTATATTTTGGTAACTTCATTTTTTTACACTACGATATTCTTTTGTATATATTTTGTAAGATTGATTTGATATGTATAACTAGATTTTTGTTTGTCTTGAGAAGCTAATACTGAAGACCGGACTAAAATATCATGTATGTAGCCTACAGTATTGTACTTAACTTTACAGGGGAGAAAAGAATTCTATTTTTGCATTGATTATGATACTCTGAATAAATACAGCATATATTTTAATGTGGTATATCCAGAAATAAATTTAATTTCTACTGAACCTGTCTTTTTATATGATGTCTTACAGAAATCAGAATATTGCTTTATTCTCCTAATTATTTTGTCAAGCTGCTGGGTCTGTTTTGTGATTTTTTCCTTCATTACATAGTTTCCTTTCCTCTAAGAAATTCCTTCTCTGGTCCTTCTGTCTTTTAGCTAATTGCCCAGACTAGAAAGGAAGTGTACTTTTAAAGAAATTGTTTTTCTCCAAAGTAGGGGAATTCATATTCTCTGCAAATACATTGGAGAGGTTGATGTATTTTAAAATGGCATTAATTGTCATTAAAGCTAAACGGGACAGCTGCTCCAGAACCCTGCGTAGAAGGAATGCTCCACAAACAGGTGCTGGTGGAGAGGCAGTGAGTCGCTGAGGGAGCCCAAGTGCCCTGTTATGGCATCTTGAGCTGTGAGGTGGAAAAGGTGTGACACGGTTAACCTGGTTTTACCTGGGAAGAACATGATTATGAATTGCTTCTCAACCATTACTGTTAAGTCCCCTGTTAAAGTTTCCTGAGCCCAGCTGACAATCTTGTTCGGAGCAGTAAAATCCCGGATTGTGAGCAGTTGTGTAGTGGCTCCATATTATTGATGGTGCAGAAAGACCATGGAACATGCAAGAAGTTTCCTGGATGGCTTCAGTCTGCAACGGTTTGGAACCAATTATGGTGAGCTGGAGCTAGAAAAATTTCTTCTCTCTCTCTCTCTGTCTCTCAAATCTTTAGAAATGGGGAGCAGCGCCTGGGTGGCTCAGTCGGTTAAGCATCCAACTCTTGGTTTCAGCTCAGGTCATGAAATTGAGCCCCACGTCAGGTACGGAGCTCTGCTTGAGATTCTCTCTCCCCCTCTGCCCCTCCCCCAGCTTGCACACACACTTGCTCTCTCTAAAAAATAAATCTTTAAAAAAGAAAATAATTTTCTTCTTTCCTCTTCTACCTTATTTTCTCTTGCTTAGAAATTCTTTCTTTATAAAAACATTTTTTATATTTTATAAAATAAAAAACATATTTTAACACAAGTTAAACAGTCATTGCCGTTACTGATACTGCCCTACTCCAATTTAGATTTCATACATCAAATGTGGGTGACGTCATGCTTGAATGTGTACTTATTTGATAACAGCCTCAAAAATTTTGAAATAGTGGTATTGCTTTTTTATTTAAAAAAATTTTTTTAAAGATTTTATTTATTTATTTGAGAGAGAATGCTGAGCAAGAGAGAGAGCACAAGTGGTGGGGAGAGATGGAGAGAGAGAAGCTCCCTGAGTAGGGAGCCCAACAGGGGGCTTGATCTCAGGCCCCTAGGATCATGACCTGAGCCAAAGGCAGATGCTTAACCTAATGAGCCACCCAAGGGCCCCAGTATTGCTTTTTAAAAAATGTTTGCCATGGTTTTTCAGTTCCTCAGAGTTGTTACATTTCTGTGGAACCATCACTTTGCCTTTTAGGTTATTATACTCAGGAGGTCAAAAAAAAAGGGGAAGGGGTGTTAAGCAAATAAAAAACTTCAAGTGACTCTCCTTCCATAGACGTATGCTTTTATGGATATGCATTTCTTCCTGTGCCTCTGTGATATGGAAACTGGATGTTTGGAGTTTCGAGAGCAGTTGAATGTGAACCAGTGATTGACTGCCGCCAGTCATCGCTGCTATATGACCACTGGCTCTCTTCACTGTGATATGCAGTGTGGAAGAGCATCTAACAGGCAAAGTTACCATATACGCTTTCTCTAATTAGCTTTCCATCTAGAAGCTGGTCCCCTTTCTTTCTCATTCCTTCCCAGATCGATATCTTGAGTCTTAACCTCTCAGCTTCAAACTCAGCGGGACATTTCCACTTCGTTATCGAATAAGCATCTCAAACTTTGGATTCCTTCCCTAACCTCAAAGATGTTTCTCTCTAGGGCGCCTGGGTGGCTCAGTCGTTAAGCGTCTGCCTCCAGCTCAGGTCATGGTCCCGGGGTCCTGGGATTGAGTCCCGCATCAGGCTTCCTGCTCAGTGGGAAGCCTGCTTCTCCCTCTCCCACTCCCCCTGCTTGTGTTCCCTCTCTCGCTGTCTCTCTCTCTGTCAAATAAATAAATAAAAATCTTTAAAAAAATAAAAATAAAAAAAAAGATGTTTCTCTCTAGCTTTCCAAATCTCCATAGATGTCCTCACTGTCCATCCAATATCTTAGCTAAAACTCTAGGTTTGGGTGTTTCACCCTCATCCCCGTCAACTCTGATGAACCTGGCTCACAGAAGTTCTTCAGTCTGTGTCCAAGAGTGGCCACTATAGCACAGGCCACCGTCCTCACTCTCAGACTCTGCTGCCGTAGTCCCCTCATCACACTGCTCCTGGTGCTCCTGCCTCAGGAAGCCCTTCTCCACCGGCAGGCAGAGTTACATTTATAAAAATGTAGACCAGAGCCGAGGCTCCCCTGCTTAAGTATATAATTACATTACACATGGTCTGAGTCCACACTCACTCCCCTGTTGGCCTAGGAGGCTATTGATCATCTGGCCTCTGCCTCCCTCTGTGGCCTCATCCCCTCTCCAACCACTTTGCACCAGCTCTGCAGCCTTTGTTTTCTGACTCAGTCACTAGGGCCTTCTCTCATGCTGGACCCTTGGCCTCTAAAGCTCTTCCCCAGATCTTGGCATGGCTGGTTCCTCCCCTCCCCAGGGGGCCTTTCCTGACCACTGTGTCCAGGAGAACCCCCCCCCCCCAAACTATCTCACATCACACTGCATACTTCACATTACAACCCTCTCTCTACCTGACCCTTTCTTACATACTTGTTGACTAGTTTACATGTTTCCCTCAAGAATGTAAGCTTTGTGTGACTACAGGCCTGGGATCCCCTCCTGACCACTACATCCCTAGACCTGGTCAGTCCCATGTATGTATGATATGACTGACCACATTCATTGTTCTGGAAGGTTCTCTGCACACTGTTCTGACCCAGAAGCCCAGTCATGCTTATAACCAGCTCCAGTAAACATCATCCCAGGCTTCTCCCAAGATTGCTTATCCAGTTTCTCATCAGTCTCCTGTAGATCGTTCCTCACCATAATAGGTAAACATTAATTGACTGCTTTCTATGTGGCAGGTAGTGTCTCAAGTGCCCTATATGCACTGTCACCTTTAATTCTCATCAGATTTATAGAGACAGACCCTTTCTTGGCAGGGAGGCCTGGGGGAGAGAGGGTCAGAGGCCTTTCTCCTGCTGTAGCCTCCAGGCACCCGTGACCATATCTGGGAACAGAATGGTGGATTGCTAGCAGGCTGTGGGTGGTGCTGCGTCTCAGGAGGGCAGGATAGCCCAGATGGCCTGGCGTGGATGAGCAAACTCAGGCTCAGACTATAGGCCGGGGCTGGGATCCAAACCTTGGTTTTTCTACTGGGTGCCTAGTTGCAGATAATAGAAACTGTTCTTGCAGTAATTAGGGAAATTATAACATTGGTATATATCTGCTATTTAAAAGTTTGATTCCCTTTGGTTATAAAGCAACCTGAGATCACAGATGAGCACATCTGACACACAGTCCTGCTTCTCAGTCAGGCAAGATATTTAGCAGGCAAGACCTAAAGTTCCGTAGAATTGAGGGATGATTAATGTGCATCATTACTGATTTAATTAGTCCAGAAATGAGACTGGGTAGGAGGGCATCTGTTTGTAGTCTTCAGTTAAACTCAGGGATGATTTTCAGTTGCATTTCTATACACTAACAGTGAGACAGAAGAAAGAGAAATTAAGGAATCAATCCCATTTATAATTGCACCAAAAGCCATAAGATACCTAGGAATAAACCTAACTCAAAGAGGTAAAGGATCTGTACTCTAAAAACTATACAATGCTTATGAAAGAAATTGAGGAAAGACACAAAGAAATGGAAAAACATTCCATATTCATAGATTGGAAGAAGAAATATTGTTAAAATGTCTGTGCTACCTAGAGCAGTCTACACATTCAATGCAATCCCTATCAAACTACCATCGAAATTCTTCACAGAGCTGGAACAAATAATCCTAAAATTTGTATGGAACCAGAAAAGACCCTGAATAGCCAGAGGAATGTTGAAAAAGAAAACCAGGGGTGCCTGGGTGGCTCAGTCGGTTAAGCGTCTGCCTTCAGCTCAGGTCATGATCCCAGGGTCCTGGGATCAAGCCCTGCATTGGGCTCCCTGCTCAGTGGGGAGTCTGCTTCTCCCTCTCCTTCTGCCCCTGCTCAATGTGCGTGCGCGCTCTCTCTCTCTCTCTCTCACTCTCTGAAATAAAATAAAAATCTTAAAAAAAAAAAAAAAAACCCAAAGCTGGTGGCATCACAATGCTTTACTTCAAGCTATATAACAAAGCTGTAATCATCAAGATAGTATGGTACTTGCACAAAAACGGGCACATAGATCCATGGAACAGAATAGAGAACACAGAAATGGACCCTCAATTCTGTGGTTAATTAATCTTTGACAAAACAGGAAAGAATATCCAATGGAAAAAGGACAGTATCTTCAATAAATGGTGTTGGGAAAATTGGACAGCCACATATAGAAGAATGAAACTGGACCACTTTCTTACCCTGTACACAAAAATAAACTCAAAATGGATGAAAGACTTAAATGAGAGACAGGAATCCATCCAAATCCTAGAGGAGAACACAGGCAGCAACCTCTGACCTCAGCCACAACAACTTCTTGCCAGACATGTCTCCAAAGGCAAAAGCAAAAATGAACTATTGGGACTTCATCAAGATAAAAAGCTTCTGCATAGCAAAGGAAACAGTTGACAAAACCAAAAAGCAGCCTACAGAATGGTAGAAGATATTTGCAAATATCTTATCAGATAAAGGGCTAGTATCCAAAATCTATAAAGAGCTTATCAAACTCAACACCCAAAAAACAAAAAATCCAGTCAAGAAATGGGCAGAAGACATGAACAGACATCTCTCCAAAGAAGACGTACAAATGGCCAATAGACACATAAAAAAAAGCTCCACATCACTTGGAAATACAAATCAATATCACAATGAGATACCACCTCACACCAGTCAGAATGGCTAAAATTAACAAGTCAGGAAACAACAGACGTTGACAAGGATGTGGAGAAAGGGGAACCCTCTTACACTGTTGGTGGGAATGCAAGCTGGAGCAGCCACTCTGGAAAACAGTATGGAGGTTCCTCAAAAAGTTGAAAATAGGGCTACCCTCTGACCCAGCAATTGCACTACTAGGTATTTACCCCTAAGATACAAATGTAGTACCTGCACCCCAGTGTTTATAGCAGCAATGTCCACAATAGCCAAAATGGGGAAAGAGCCGAGATGTCCATTGACAGATGAATGGATAAAGAAGTGGTGTATATATATATATACACACAATGGAATACTACCCTGCCATCAGAAAGGACGAATACTTACCATTTACATCAACGTAGATGGAACTAGAAGGTATTATACTGACGGAAATAAGAGAAAGACAATTACATGGTTTCACTCATGTGAAATATAAGAAGCGTATAGGTATCCTATTGCCACAGCCTGCTACCAACTCAGCACTCTGTTCCCAGACACGGTCACAGGTGCCTGGAGGCTACGGCAAGAGAAAGGCCTCTGACCCTCTCTCCCCCAGGCCTCCCTGCCAAGAAAGGGTCTGTCTCTATAAAGCTGATGAGAATTAAGGGTGACAGTGCATATAGGGCACTTGAGACACTACCTGCCACATAGAAAGCAGTCAATTAATGTTTACCTATTATGGTGAGGAACGGTCTACAGGAGACTGATGAGAAACTAGATAAGGAATCTTGGGGGAAGCCTAGAAGTGCAGTCCAGCAGGTCAAAAGGCAGTGAGTGAATCCTGCGGACCACCACATAAATGAGCTTGAAAGTGGCTCCTTCCCCAGTTGAGCCTTCAGACAAGACCCTAGTCTCCTCCAACACCCTGATTGTAGCCTGTGAGAGACTCCCAAC